TTGACTGCCTGACTTACTGACTGCCTAGTTCATAGCTGGGGCAGCAGGGGCAGACTCAGAGGTGCTGTGGTTCAATCTCTTCAATACAAAAGAAAAATTAAGAAAGGACTTTATCACAAAGCAAGCTACTGAACTGAAGAAATCCTGTCCTAAGTTTGTGGAAATGCCCTAATCAACACAAGCTTCAAGGCCTCTTCCCACACATTATTTAAAATTTGACTAACCAAAAAAAAAAAAGGCTTTAGTATAAAAGATCATGCCTGAAGCATGAGCACATTATTCTGCATACCGTACACATTTAAGCTCCATCTTCACTCATGCTTCACATCTCCTGCACACTGGAGGCCACTGATCAGTGTCTGGTGGATCAGAGAGCAAACACTGTTGACATATGAGGTTCTAGAGCATGAGAGAAGCCAAAGGGCAGGACTAACACATGGGTGAGATCCAGGCCTTGCTGCAGGGGGTGTGAACATACTGCTCAGGGTGTAACACTTGCAGAATGGACTGTACTAACACTTTAGCAGAGGTTAGTGTCCTGGAAGGGCTTCTGTGACAGTCAAATGACTTCCAACAAGGCAGTGAAAGTTGGATTCCTAATATTCTTCTGATAAATGCTTTATTATTCTAATTTATTGTAGTAATACCAGAAGTTGAAACAAAACAGTGGATCCCAACAGCACGCAGGGCTTACACAGATTAATAGTTATCTTGGAGCTCTATGAGACTAGAGTTGTCACATATAGGGCAGGTACAACTGCTGTCAGTATTGCTTCTATGAAGCTGTAGGAAATTATACTGTGTGAGGGAGGTGAGAGGTGGAACACAGACGAAGAGCCCATCAGACAATCAATTGTCTATTGAAGTGGGGTAGAAGGGATAGGGCTGGGAGAATGCATTTCAGAAACAGCAGGAGTAACCAAGAAAAACAGCTGAGAAAGCATCTGAGTGATGTCAGATGGGAGAACAGAGAGAGCAATGATTTTCTCTGCCTTAGTAATAGATGTACACTTATTAGTGAAGGATAGCTCTGACAACACAAAAGAATAGAATTCTGGTTTTCCCTCCAGCAGGTGTAAATCTTTGTGACCCTTTTTGCCCAAGTACTTGTGAAAAATGTCTCATGAGGAGTCCTACTTTGAGCCCAGTGCTTGCTGAGATCAAATACTTTCCTCAGAGGATTGTCACAGGTGGCCTCTACCTCCCTGCCTAATGTCTGCAAAGCCTTGAATGGTTGAAAAGTCTGCTTTATTTCTATAGTCAACTGTCTTAAAAGATCTGGAAATACCTCTTCATGGTATCCAAATGCCACAAATGAGAACAGAGCATTTTCAGGTAAAATATCAGCGTTCACATGCTGATGAATTGCCCATGCAGTACAGACATGGAAAAAACACCATATAAACTTTTCAAGCTAAACAATTCCTTCATCACTCAGAACCTAAGAAACTTAATGTTCCAGCCTTTAGAGATTGTCCTTCAATTGCCTGCTCAATTTTAGTACCTCCCTTTCTCAGAAATCTCCCCTCTGTGAGCTTTAGTGAGTTTCCTGTTTACCTTAATTTAGCTAATGCATAAGATATCCAAGGCTGATTACAGAACTGTCAGTCAGATGGCAGGACTTGACTGATTCTTTCATTATTCCATTACAGTTTCCTTCTGCTGGCATCCCTTTTTACTAGCAGTATGTGTCCCGTGCCCAAGGAAGCACTGTGTGTGAATATGCAAAGAGGACCAAACCCTAGATGAGTTGGTTGAGTCCCTAATAACTGTCTGCTTGTGAAAGCAGTAAGTAGCAGAGTAGACATAACATTAAATGGTGCTGAGATCCCACTAAGCTGTTTCAGGGGAGGTATCACAAACAAATGTACAGGTAGACCTGAGCAAGAAGCCAGTGAGAAGTGGCTCAGATCCCCACAGTGCTTCCAGAGCAGCAAAGGGTGAAAAGTGCCCCTAGTACAAACTAGGCTGTACTGTTTGTACCCTAGTACAAACTTGGCTGGTGGTAGTTAGCAAAGAGTTGACAGACTGTGAACTTCTCCACTGGATGCAGGGGCTTCTCAGCAGATGATCAGGACATGAGTATCTCATGATGGAAAATGCTTTTGTCACAGAGCTGTTTGTAACTGTCCTGTTGCAGGTTAATCCATTGCATTGTCAAATCCTTACAAACAACTCAGATACAGCTCTCCAACAAAGGACTGCTTGGCTCTAGAGGAGGAAATCAGCCATTCAAATCTGAGCCTGACTCCAAATGGATCTGTCATTAGGATTGCAAATAGCACCAGGGAGCATGCCTTCAGCTCCTGGGTGCATAGGCAACCCTGCAAATGGGTCCTCTCATTCTTTTTTTCACTGTCAATACCATGCAGCTTTTACAACATCAAGTTCCAGTTAAGTAGTGCATCTAGGTCCTAGAAACCTTTTTGTGCAGATTTTGTGCATCCCTGCAAGCTGCTTGTCCTCTTTTTCCTGAGCCATCATAACTGAAGAAACCAAAGATTTTTTTTTTCTGAGTGAATATATGCTTGGGGGTAAAAGTACATGTGGAAGGACTAAATCAGCCTCTTCTTCCACACCTAGGGGGCAAAAGAAAAATGAAAGCTTGTCAATATATGCTTTCTGTTTCAGCTTGGCATTTTGACACCTCTTTTGGCCAGTTCATGTTAGATTAAATTAGGTACCTTCCCAAGCAGCAATGATTCACAACATTTTGCTCTGCTTCCAGCTGCCATCCTTGTGCTGAGGCAGTGCATCAGCTGGTCTCTCTGCATTCTCCATCTGGATGCCTCATCAGTCTCTTCTCATGGCTCAGTTTGAACTTTGCCTTCCTCTTCAGCCTTTCCCAAAGGCAGCACCCACTCCAGCAGGGTGTCAGCAGCATAATCCCCCCTGGCATCTGCTCCCTGAATAACTGATATTGCCTCCAAATTCAGCCTGCTTCCCCAGTCCCTTGCTCCCCCTAACAAAGCAGTTCTTTCCCTCAAGTGTGGCAGCAGGGATCATCTTTGCCAGTTGGCCTTGCACTGGTCTCCTCTCTGGAGGGGAAGAACACTCATTACCCTCACCTCTGAAGACTTTTCGGTCTGCAGACATGCATGTGCTGATCTGTTAACTTCTCCCACCTGATTCCCTGGCCTGTTACATTTTTGGAAAGAGCAAAAAGTTTGAAACTGTCAAAACATTTAAAGTTGGGGTGAATTTGTTTTCAAATTGTATCTATCTTACCATATGTCATCCTTCTAGAAGCACTGGACTTTAACAGGAGTGCATATGCCATGACTACAGACAGCCACAGGCATCCTGTGATGCCACATGGCTGTGTAATTCTGTTAGCCACAGTGCACCACAGGAACATCAATTCAAGAAGAATCTATGAACTTCATTTGGTAAGGTGAGGTAACTGCAAGTTTATGAACCTGGACTATTAACTCCATTCTAATAAACATTGCAACTTGGGAAAATTTGGCATAAAGTAGAAATTTTTTGTAGTTTTTACTTTTTTCCTAGGAAAATGTTTGCAAAATGGAAACTTAAAAGACAAATCATCATGCTGAAAACTTTTTCATCTTAAAATTATTTGCAAAGAGAATTTATATCTAACTTCAGCTTAGAGATGCCTCACAGCCATGCCTTGTGATCTACACTTACACTGTTGCTTTTGAGAGGGCAAAATTACTCACAGACTTCCAAACACTCATAGTTTTGGTTTTTTGCTTTCTCATCTCTCTGCAGAAGGCTCCCTCTCTCTAATGAGCTCTGGAGTAAGGCTGGTGCCTGTAATCTTTAAAGATTTTATTTTTCATCCCTCAAACCTTGTCATGGGCAGCCACTTCAGGGATCCACGTGGGTCCACTTCAGGGACCTTCTTTATTCAGTCAACTCATTCCTAAGTCTTTTTCTTCCAGACAGTCCTCTTTCCTGCTTTCTATCCATACTTCAACAATTTGTATAAATGACAAACCACTTTATTATTCTGTACTGCAGCTTGGCCTCTGTATTTTTTTGGTATGAAGGGCATCTTTTTTTCATTTTCTAGGTCTTTTTTTCTTCTCTCTACACTTACACAACAATGTAAGCGCCTGAAAATGCAGCAGCATTTCTGTTTTGATCAAATCATTCATCCAGTCACTCGGACTTGATCATGCTGGATTGAGCACACATAAAGGAGATTCCCTGTCTGAGCTGCTTTCTGGGAGGCTGGATGGCACCTGTGGTGCCTTTCACCGTTCCTGAGAAACAGGACCCTCAGTTTCTCAGATCCTTTTCCTACAGATTCTTTTCAGGCATTCCTGTTGCAAGGACATGTGTAGTGAACACCTGAGGAGAGAACATGCATCAACCTCTAAAGGATTGTGAGATCAGGTTTTTTTTAACTTCTGTGATTAAGAGTAACACTCTGTTGCAGAGAACTTGGCCTGTAACAGCACCCGGTGGGTTTTTTTCTTTATTCTGCTCCTCCGTTTTCACACTAGCATACTGGCACAGGAGGCTGCACACATGAGGAAATAAAAAAGTTAGAAGAATTGATGTTGTAAGCTGACTGGACTGTCAGGAATGAACTTAGCATGCTTAGTTGCTCCTGTCAGATGGCAATAACAAGTCTACTTGCCTTGGATTTATTCACTGAGAATACTGTCAAGCAATTCTATCACTTGATGCTGTGCGTATTTCAAGGTTCGTATGGCTTCTGGTAGACATGTTAGAACCATGTAACATCCATTTCTATCACCTGAAGAATCAGTCCTCAGCTAAGAAACTGAAGCTGTTTCACCTCTGTGTATTGTGATGGACTCACTCAGGTGATCATCGGGCAATAGCTATAAAGCAGCTGCTTCAGCACGATGAGAATTATTAACCCTTTGGCGTGGGGCTGAGTGAATGCTCCCCCTGCTCCATGATGGCTGTCCTGTGTCTTGCCTTGCCTCTCTCTCCTGCACTCTTGCACGTTCCCCGAGGCAGGGGTGCGGGTGACTGGAAATGTGAAGTCACCTGATAGGATGCTGCCTGACTCCCTTCGCTCTGCGCGGCATAAGCCCTCCTTGCCTAGTGGTAGTGAAAGCAACTCTGCAAGGCTTGCTCTGCTCAGCAGGCTGCTGAGTTTGCTGCAGATGCAAAACAGAAATCCATCCTTCTACTGCCTACTTACCACCAGGAGGGTTATATGTCTTCTTGCCTCTTGTTCCTTCCCCCAAACCTCTGTTCTCAAAAGGAAGCTCTGTTCTGCTGCTAGCAATGCATCCTAAGACGTGGCTATGCTGGTGTTGCCCTGCTTTCTGCGTGTGGGCATTCATGTTCACATCCTTGATTAAAGGTAGGCTCTCTTTGATACCAGTTTCTAGAATATTTTCTAGTTACTGTCTCTGCTTCTGTTTTCTTGAATTAATTAAATGTAAAGCTCCCACCAGCTATTTCTAACCTGAAATCTTTAACACTTCAACAGTATTTGAAAAGAGCTAAAGCAATACTAGTTTTTCAATGTAAAACTCTTCATTTGTGTTTGATAACTAATGGAAGAACTATTTCTAGAAAACAATAGAAATGGATTAGGGTTCCTAGTAGTTTCATTTGATGCTTGAATTTGCAAGTGCTTAAATAATGCAGGCTATGGATGTGCATGGTCAGTACTCACACTTTCAAAAGTGAGAACTTTAACTATTGCTTACTATTGTTTGTGATCTGTGTTTTAAATATGCTGCAGTCATTTCTGTTCACAACTCTCATGGAGTTTAGCATGATTTTTGCATTTAGGACACATTTATTTTGAAACTCTCGCTTCTGCAGATGACCAAGATGCGTATCAAATATACTGCTTGTCTTAGCAAGGCATTAGAAACTGTTTTAAAGCAGCACCATAGGGTAAAACCTAAATACTTGTCTGGTTTCATTACTTTATTTTAAAGCATGTATCTATTACAAAGCCAGTGGGAAAATTTCAAATGAAACATGATTTTAGATGCATTTACTTTATGTTCCCACAGTAGTGTACTTCTAATCACAGCGCTATGGGTGGTGATGATGAAATCTGAAAAGAAAAATTTTAGTTCTTTTTTGAATGAAACAATACATGATATAAAAGAATCCAAACTTCATGACATATTCACGTGTCTTCTCTGAATGATGCAGAAAGGATGAAATAAAATATCAAGTTTTTAAATTTTTACTAGAATTTTCTTTCCATACATGTAAGTGACCAGTAGGCAGCATTTCATCTTGCAGTATGATAATCCCCTGCAATTTCAGGATGCTTTGTGATTTCACCTTAGAGGTGAAATCTCTTTTTCAAGAACAGGGGAAGGACAGTCTAATCATGAAAGTGCAGCATACTGAGACCAAGTGTCTCCCTGCAGGACATCTGCACATCCACAGGCCCTTGAAGGATATGTAAATTGCAAATTTATGTGCCAGAGACCATGCTGCCTGGTACAAACCCCTTCTATGTTTAATATTTGCAATCATAAAGGCTTGTCATGGTTACTTGTCTGGTGTGTTCTAGTGCAATCTGGGACTAATGCAAAAAACTTATGACAATGAGTCCGAAAACAAATTTTTCCTCAGTTGTATCAGTAATATCTTTGGGATCATCATATAGCTTTGATAACACAGCTGTGCACAGCATGAGACAGAAATTCTAAATCTTGAGTTTATAAAATGTTTTCATTTATGTGCTGAATTGCAGTAATGTAATAGCAAAGTTTTTCAAGAAAATTGTTCTTCTGAGCTGTTGTTGCCAGAGCAAATAAAATTTTGTATTTTCCTTTAGAAATCAAAGTGTATAGCCTTTTACACTGTGAAAATAACTGTTTCAGGTTTAGACTATGTGTAACAGGTTAGGAGCATTCTTAACTCTGCAGTGAGTCAGCTCAGTGCCTGTCACATACCTTGCTTCTTCTAAGCCATCTGGTCTGTTCTTCATTAATGAGGGGTTACAGCTGTGATCTGCTTGTTCCCAAAGAACAGTTCTGTATTACATAGATGCATGCTATTCTATAAGAAATGTTAATATTTCCACTTTTTTCTTGTTCTTAGAACTTAATAAATGAACTTTCTGCAAAGAAAAATTGTGCTATCTAAAGACTGGAAATATCAATTGTGAGGATAAAATTCAGTCATGTTTAAGATTAGGAGGCATCATTGTAGTCCTCTAATCACCTGATAGAGATTTTGATACAGTAGTTGCAGCCTCAAGCTTTTAATTTCTAAGTAGGTATGCTTTTCATGAACACCCTGTTTTACTGGGGAGATTCACAAAGATTAAATCTGTCACATTTCTACTTCTTATCTTTCACAACACCTTACTTTGGTATGATACCAAGGTGGGCCACATGGAGGCTCATAGGCCAAATCCAGCTTAGGAGACAAAACCAGCAAAGCCATTACCTTACTATTTGAGGAAACAAGGAGTAGCCAACATTCTGCAGGAGGATGCTTTCAACTGACACCATACTGGCAACCTCTCTTCTCTATGCTCTGGTAGCTTTAAACATGGTCACAAGCACAAGGTCCAGAAATATAGCACAGACTAGTATGTTATCCAACACCTTCTTCCCCCTTTTTCTTCTCTCTGGCTTAGCTGTTCTTTGTCTTTTCCAATACAGATACCACAGCCTGCGAATCAGAGGAACGGTTATTTCACAAACTCTTCTCCCAGTACAACCAGTTCATTAGGCCGGTGGAAAATGTGTCTGATCCTGTCACAGTGTATTTTGAACTGGCCATCACCCAGCTTACAAATGTGGTAAGACTCACTACACAATACTGCTGAGCTTTGGGGATGGTTGTAAACACATGCAAATTGCTGAAGCAGGAGATGTAATTGTGATGGCTGCACATACCTACAACTCTCCTAGCTTTCATTTCATGTGTTTCTACATGCACCTGCTGAAACCTTTGCTGTTCTTTTAGTCAGATGAGTTGTTCCAGTTGCTTGAAGAAGTGGTTTGAATGACACAGATTCATTTCTTTACTTCTATAGAATCAAACCCCTCTGCTTCAGGTAGCAGCCTCCAGAGCCCAGGGCAGAAGCCCTAAATGTTCAAGCCCAGGCTAGCCCTCTTCACAGGGCTAGCCCACTCCAGAGACACCTAGTGTGTCCACGTTGTGTGTAGCATGTGACCAATTCTGCTTTGGGACTACTGTCATTTCCCAGTAGTCCTGAGGGGAAAAATCTTCTCCTTTTTTTCAATCTATGTGTTTCAAAATGATGTAAGGGAAAAGTGTGGAAAGTGGAAGAAAGCATGGAGGTGGGGATGAATGTTGCATGTTTTGGAATGCAAATGGCTGTGGGGCAAACATACTGGGCAGGACAGAGCCAGTGTGGAAGAAACAAAACATCACCTTTCTGATTTGTGACTGATTGGCAATTGCAATAAGTGACTGTAAAAGAAGGTTTCTGTATGGAAGCTACCTAATTTAGTGCTGGTCAAGTGTATCTGCTCTAGAGGTTTGCATAGAAATTCAAAACACTGTGATACAAATGTCATTTTCCTTGAATCTCAACCAATTCTGTACTGTGTAATCAGAGTTTTTTAAACACTGAATCCAACAAAATACATAGCCACAAGAAGAATCTCATTCTTTTGGTACAGGTCAGAGCAATTCTAGGTTGTGTGCTCTCCAGATACTCAAATGTCTGGCAAAACAGTGCAGCTTTCTGTATACCTGATATTTATGGAGCATGATTTTTCGGTAAAGTTTTATTCATTTTTCAGTAGGGTTGCACACAACAATGTACAATGTGTAAACCTCTTGAAAGATGCTAGAAAAAATCTGCTATCAGTGAAATTAATGTGAAATTCTATTTTCCAGTTTTATGGGCTAAAGTTTTGGCCATCTCAGGATACTAAAACTGTTTATGCCTGTGTTTCTTTATAGGATGAGGTCAATCAGATTATGGAAACAAATTTGTGGCTAAGACACGTAAGTGACTGTGTTGCATTTCTCATGCATTTTGCATCGAAATGATTAAATGTGTGTTACTTGTAACTCACATCTATATGATAATACAGTTTTTGTTTTGTAACAAGGATTTAAAAAAAATTAATGAGAAGCTCCACAATTGAAAAAGTAATTTCTTCATTCTTTTTACCTAGAAGTTACATTTTCTTTCTTTCTGGTGAGATATATTCTTCTCCAACTTCATGATGATTGGTTTTCTTCTGGAAAATCGAGCTGGATGTACTCCTTAAAGAGTGATTAAATATGCCACTCTAGGTCATCCCCATCAAAATATTTATTAGAAAAAGGAACATGCCTCCATTGTTCCTGATAGCTTTGAGTATTTTAACATAGATAAGTACTGGAATTAAATACCAATATAGCCAGATGGAACATGCCTGGGCTCATCTGACCCTTGCTGCTTGACCAAAGGCGGCGCTGTGGTGTTTCACCTGAGAGACACATTTGGCTGGCTGGGTGCTGCAGCTGGGCGCTTGGAACAGGTCGAGGCATGCAGGAACTCAGGTTTACCTCTGGTGGAAAGGCTTTAGGTGATGGTGAAGGAAAGGAATCGGGTTCTGCTGGAGGGTTTCCATCCAGACCTTTATTCCTGGCACACAGGCCTCTGAATGCAGCAACAGCTCCAATAGAACTCCCGAACCACGTGGTTGCAGTGTCTTTTAACCCTGGGGGGAGGGGGAGGGAAGGGATAGGTGTGCCACCAACCAGGTGAGGGGGGGGAAGTCTCAGGGGACAAATGACACCTGGATGGCCCAAAGTCCCCAGGGCTGAGAGGCATCTTTTGAACTTTGCCAATCACACAACGCCCTTTCTGGAATGCAAGATTGACGGACAGCGCTCAGAAGGGGGCAGGGGAGGGGAAGGGAGAGGTGATTGGCCTCTCACCTGGGAAAGGAACCGGGATAAGTGAGACAGGCTATGACATCACACCACAACAGATAAGGATCCTTAGGGGACCTAAACTGCTGAGAAAATATAGCTAACTTGCACCATTGTTTTCAGGCACTGTTTGTGGTCCATGCAGAGTTTTCTGTAAAACAATAGGTGAGAGACCATGGAGCATGGCCCTATAATAGGGCAATAGGCAGCAATGCAGAAGAGCTGCTGTGCATCCCTCACTGCCCTGACCTGGTATGTCAGTACTCCTGTGGAACCAATACTGTTGTCTGGCAGCAGCTGCCTGTTCGTGAGCAGGTGGACCAAACATGGGGGTACTGGTCTCCTCTGGTGCTGTCCTCCTCTCACCTGTGGGGTGCTGCAGCAAGGTCCCTATTTTCTCTTGGCAAGGGGGAGGTAACCTTTCACAGACAAGGCTCTCTACTGATGTCACACAACAGAGGAGAGATCTCAGCATGGCAGCAGTTCATAGCAATTGGCACCCCATCCCATCACAGAGAAGAGAGTAGCAATCAAGAGAGCAGTATTCGCACATGTCTAGTGTTTCTCCAGGTCATGGCCTTCCTCTCTTTTGGACCACTGTCCCCTTTTCCACATGCTACATTTCATTACAGTCTGTCATTTTACAGGAAGATGTGAGAAACAGATATTTGTTGATAATTTAAAGTTTTATAATCTTTGTCCATTCTTCTTTCAGATTTGGAATGACTACAAACTGCGATGGGATCCCAGACAATATGATGGCATCGAATTTGTTCGGGTACCAGCAGATAAAATTTGGAAACCAGATATTGTCTTGTATAATAAGTATGATGATTCATTTTACCCATTTTATTGACTCATTTGAATATCTCAAAAATATCCCCTTGCAGCTCCTATAAAAACACCCATTACATTTTATTTTCATGGTAATTTTTTTGGTTTTGCCTCATTTGTCTTTCCAGTGCTGTGGGAGATTTTCAAGTTGAAGGCAAGACCAAAGCCCTCCTTCGCTATGATGGAATGATCACCTGGACCCCACCAGCTATTTTTAAAAGCTCCTGTCCTATGGATATTACTTTCTTCCCATTTGATCATCAGAACTGTTCACTCAAATTTGGCTCATGGACCTATGACAAAGCCAAAATTGATCTTCTGATCATTGGATCCAAAGTAGATATGAATGACTTTTGGGAAAATAGTGAATGGGAAATAGTTGATGCTTCTGGCTACAAACATGATATCAAATATAACTGCTGTGAAGAGATCTACACAGACATAACATATTCTTTTTATATTCGAAGATTGCCAATGTTCTACACCATAAATCTGATCATTCCCTGTCTTTTCATCTCATTCCTGACTGTGTTAGTTTTTTACCTGCCATCTGACTGTGGTGAGAAGGTTAATCTTTGCATCTCAGTGCTTCTTTCTTTGACTGTATTTTTACTGGTGATCACAGAAACAATCCCATCCACCTCTTTAGTAATTCCCCTAGTTGGTGAATATTTACTCTTCACAATGATATTTGTGACTCTGTCAATTGTCATCACAGTGTTTGTCCTCAATATACATTACAGGACCCCAATGACACACACAATGCCCAAATGGGTAAAAACTGTCTTTCTTCGCCTGCTCCCCAAAGTCCTGTTGATGCAGAGGCCACTAGAACAGGAGAAAAAAAACACCTCCAGAAAAACCAAGAAAGGATCAGACAGTAAGTTGGGCAAGTCAAAGCACAGCAAACACAAAGACACCAAATTGCACAAGGAGCAGCGGTGCAGTCACTGTGATCAGGCAACTGAACTCCGTACCACCAAAAGACAGCTGAGCCATCAGTCTCTGAGATGGATGGCAGAGCACATGGAGTACTCTCCAGAGGTGAAGGATGTCATCAGCAACGTCCAGTTCATCGCAGAGAACATGAGATCTCAAAATGAAACCAAAGAGGTAAGGGAGATAACCATCCCTTTAGGGCTGGTTTTGTTTGTATTGAAATCAATGGTGATGACAAGGTGGAGTGCCTGTGTGTAAAGATCAGGGGCTAGGTCAGCAGGGCACTTGTCCTGGTAGGAGTCTGTTACAGACCACCTAGGCAGGATGAACAGGCAGATGATGTATTCTACAGGAGGCTAGAGGAAGTGTCATGATCACCAGCCCTTGTTTTCCTGAGGGACTTCCGCTTGCCAGGAAGCTGCTGGAAGGATAACACAGCAGAGAAGAATCAATCTAGGAGGTTCCTGAAGTGTGTGGAAGATAATTTCCTGACACAGGAAGCAAGCCAACCAGGGAAGGTGCCCCACTGGACTCATTGTTTGTGAACAGAGAAGGCCTAGTGGGAGATGTGACACTTGGAGGCCACGGGCACAGCAACCACAGAATGATAGAGTTTTCAGTTTGGGGTTTAGTTGTGAGGGGTGCCAGCAGAACTGGATCTCCAGCAGCTAGACTTTGGCCTGTTTAGGAAATTGATTTCTAGAGTCCCTTTGGAGTGAGTCCTGAAGGTCAAAGGAGTCCAGAAAGGCTGGGCATGGTCTAAAAAGGAAATCCTTAAGGTACAGAAGCAGTAGGACAAGTTGCTGGGGAAGAAGACCATCTAATGGGTTGTTTGTGTGAGGTCATGAATTTTTTTCTTATTTGGGATTACTATCATAGAAAATGGTGCACATTGGAATTTAAGGGTTTCTGGGGCCATATCCTCCTGTGTAAACACAAACTAAAAGAAGCTGCAAAAGGATTTTCTGACACCAGGAACTCATAAGGAGCAGAAGTTCTCTGACACTTCAAGATATTTATAAAAGTGTTTAGAAACTAATGCAATATATATCTTTGATCTGTCATGGAATTTTTGCGTTTGGTTTTGAATTTTTTTAGATGCTCTATGATGGTAAAATCCATCTTAAAGCTAAGTACTGCTGTATTTATATGGAAAATCACAACAACTTTATAAGGGAAATGTTGGTATGCATTATGTCTATCAGAATATTTTGTTGAAATTCATACAACTTCAGTAAAACCTAAAGATGACCTTTATTCCCCCCTTTCTTTATGCCCTGCAGAAGAAGTTTCATCTGAAAGCAAAATCTATAAATTTCTGAATAAAGGAGTAGAGTTAAGCCAGTGACTGAATTCACAGAGTGAGAATGTAGCACATGCCAGTCTGAAGCAAAAGACAGGAGGAATCTTTTACCATAGAGGAGGATGGGGATTGAGCTGAGCCCTGCTCAGTACCTATGGCCTTAGTGCTTTGCTTAACTCACACCCTGCTTTCATTATCACACCAGCTGCACAAAACATATCCATGTACTGATTCAGCTACTTTCTCTGATAGTCTCCCAAAAAGAAGTTTTCCACGCAGTCATCCAAATAACTTACTGTCTTGATTATACAGCTCAAGGGAAATCTTCTTTTGCTAGTTTTGCTGATTTCCATTTTGCAAATCTCTCCTGCCTCATGAAATTTTATTCTTAGTCCAGTGTGTTCATGAGCAGCTTCGTATCGTACCTTTCAGAACATATTAGAGATGGGAAGCATAATTTTTCATTTACAAAAAATCTCCTTTTCAGGGAAAAATCAGGATTTGTTCTCAGGCAAGCACTGAGAAAAAATTATTCTGGAGGCTGCTTCTGCTTCAGCCAGATATACAAATGGGTGGTGTTATGTACTAGTCCTAAATAAATCAAAGCCCTTTAAAAATTGCAGAAACATTTATAGCTGTTGGAGTTCTTCCTGAGTGCTCTTTCATGTGAAGTGCAGCTTCCATGTCTGATTTTCAGAAGTCCTCCAAGGTTCTTCCCTGGCTACCAGCATGTTTCTATTCATGGTCATGTTACTATCATGGCAAACTTCTTTTTCATAACATCCCTAACACTCAACCCAACACTAATGACTATCATAGCTGTCCTCTCAGTAGCCCTGGGAGGTTGGATAGGATTAAACTAAATACAAACTTGAAAAGTCTTACCTTATTTATATGTTTCTCACCTTGGCTGAATTGCCATTATCAGAGTCTACAACTTCAAACTTACACTACTTAAATTTTACTTATACTCCCCAATACCTGCTGCTGTATTCCTCACCCTCAACATGATCAAAATCCTAAAGCCAGTATTTTCTTGGAGGCAAATATAATAAAATTGGAAAAACAAGTGGAAGATCCCTCAGCAGAGAGATCTTAACTAGTCACTAGTTTATATGTGTGAATGTTCTTCTGATGCAGTGTTTCTTGTGCAGTACAAGTTCAAAGGTACAGTTTAAAGGACAGGAACTTCATTGAATGTGGTTCTAAGATCTGTCTCTCAGCCATGCAAAATTCTTTCTGTCCTGCTTAGCACACGTCACTGCAGTTTGCTGGAACCCTTGCTTCGCCATAGTCCATGTGTCCATGTGTCCAGTTTCCAGAAATCAGTGGGGCTTGATTGGTGAGACAGTGTTTCAAATCAGACCAGAATAGCAAACTGCCTCTTGTGTAGGCTGTCAGGATAAATCCTTCAACAGGGTTTAGTGATGTGCAGCTGTGGCGGCTGTGCCTGCTGTTAAACCATCCCACTCTGCCCCCACCACGTGATCAGGTCCTGTTTGTTAATATCAGCACCACAGCCATGGATTAGCTGCCCTCAGACTCGAATATTTAGAACAATTCAGCAGACTAGCAGACAGTGTTGTATGTTCTCAGCCAAAAGTGGTAAAATACCATTAGAAAATCAGCTCCCTCTGAAGAGAGTGAAAACTGAGCAACTATAAGCATGACAAGCACATTCCTGACTTGCATGTGTGTTTTTCCTTACATTCAAAAGCACAGAGGGCATTTCTACTGCGTAATGTCAACTCACAATTGTATGTAACATTACATGTATTTTATCCTTCTCTTTTTTTATTCTCTTGCAGGTGGAAGATGATTGGAAATATGTAGCTATGGTGATAGACAGAGTATTTCTCTGGGTATTTATAATCCTGTGTGTGTTTGGGACTGTAGGGCTCTTTATCCAGCCACTAATAGCAGAAACATAACTCAATCCATTGCTTTTTGTCCACTTTTGCTCTTGTTTCATTTTCGGTTCATAGAAATTTGCCTTCTATTTCTCTCCTCTAACATCATGCCTCTGCTCACCACCTCGTCAGCACCCAGCCACAGAAGCTCCCAGAACAATAAAGTATGTGTTTACATTTATGTTTGAAATCAGACAGATCTTAAGCATTTAATCATATTTGAAGACAAATGGACTTAAAGTTAGAATGTGGTTACCATGTGAGGCATACACATTTGAAAACTTCATGCTTCTAAAATCTTTTAAAATTAGTTTGATCTGCCACTTACTTTTCCATTTAAGGGGACCAAAAGGGGACCAAAGTCCTCTTTACTTCCTGATAGTAAGTACCAAGACCTTGATAAGCTTCAGTAGGATTTCTAAGCCACATATCTCACCAGGTTAACAGTGGTCCTAGTCCACAGGTTCTGCTCTGAAAACTCTTGCTTGCTCAGGTTCTGACATAAACCCAACAGAGAAGGGTTTGTTCCTGACTAGATACTTGCCATAGACAGAATTGGTTTGACAGCACTGGATTGATCTGAGGTTTTGTGTTTTTAAAGCCAAAGACCAACCTAAATTATGCATATCCCAGCAGGAGAAGGATGGATACCATGAATCCTCTGCAAAGCTGAGCACCCTGTTTCAAACAGCTGTGCAGCAGTGTTCTGCTTCCTGACTCCTCATGGGTCTGTGCTGTGTGTGCAAACCTGAAATTTAGGGCCATGTCCTTTGGGGCTGAGGTTGCTGATTTGTAACCAAGTCTCAATCCTAGTGTGCTTCCTCCTGAAACACTTCGTAGATGTGTTCCTAATGTGGTTTCTATAAAATGTGGGTGGTTTACTCTTGAGTCCCTCATTTGTTTATATTCCTGTAAGTTTTGTGGTGAAAGGTTCTTCTTTAAAAGGCACCACTACAATTAAACCAAATGGTTCCAAGAATACAAAGCCTTTGTCTCTTACAAGAACCTCTAAATTTAACTGTATAGTGTCAATGCAGTGCTTTCAGTGTCTGACATGCATCAGTCTCCACCCTGAACATCACCAATCCTTGGAAAGTAAGACTCCCTGTTTCTGAAGTCACTGGCTGGCCTTTTACTCTTTTATGATGTTTCATAATAAAGAGAATAGGAATGAATTAGTGTATATGTTAAAGGCAGAATGACAAGAATATAACTGTCTTAATTCACCCAGTCATGATTGTAGAAGAACAAGTAGAAGAAACTATTATTTTCTGTAATCTCCCTGAATGTTGTTCAATTATGTAGCAACCGACAGACAAGTGTATGAAAAAGCATGGTTTATTTTGTCAGCCTGTCAATTAAATGTCACTCCTGAGATACACCTTGAAGAATTTGTGGTTTGGGGTTTTTTTTTTTAGATTTCTTGTTGTCAATGTGTTTATAGATGCTACTATTGGCTCTTTAATCAGAAAGAAGGTGAGGGAAAAGAAAGGAAATTTGAAGAGGAGAGCTGAATTCTGAACCTAAAAACTTCATTTATACAGAAAAGACATCTGACTGCTAGCATTCACTGTTACTCCATGACCATCCAAACCATGAAAACATTGTGGCTGAAGGTGCATTGCATTGGTATCTTAAGCATGATAGCTACAACCCCACAGTGAATAATCTGACTTCAGCAAAATCCCTGATTTACAAAGTCATCTTCTGTCTCTTTTTAGTGTACTATTTACTTTCTCCAACTCAGTAACTTTTGGAGCCATCTTTTGCAATTCTCAGCTGTGTTTGACACATTCAATACTGGGAGCCTAATATAGCACTGCCAGCTTTGTGAAAGTACTTGAGAGGGGAGATGGGGGATACAAGAAGCATATCAGCATGAAGGAGGCTGCAGTAGGTGTACCCCTGCAAGCAGACATGGAAGAGCCCACACAAAAATGACAGTTTTGCTTGCCCAACTCTTGTTGAAGGTTGGGGGACCTTCTAAATGAAAGAACAAGAAAAGTTACAACTAGAGCCGGTGCCATCCCAGATGTTGACTTGGGATCACACATTGTGCACAGCCACAGTAAAGGTCTATTCTCACCCCATCAGCTCCAAAGTCACATCAGCAACATCCCTTATTAATATGCCTCAGTGATGAGTGTAGCAGCAAGAATTCTCCTCTCCTTGGGAGTGATGGCATCTATGAATTAATTTTAAAAGCACAGAAACAACAGCTCAACATCTCTTTACATTCTCTTCCCAAGGGGAGACCATTCTTCCAGTTTGCCTCCACTAAAAGGTCCAGAAGAGTTTTTTGTGTTTGTCTTTTGGTGAGTGGGTCATATGTGTGAGTGCCAAAAGCAGTGCCAATGTCTCAGAAAACCAGTTCCCAGAAACTGAGGCTGCACAGGTTGAGACAGTATTAAGACAGAAGGTTACTGTTTTTTTGTTAAGACTTGTCATTTGCAATATTGTCATCCACAGGCAGAGTAGGTAGAGCAGAGGGAAGGGCCAACTGGAGGATTGTCTCCCTAGTTGGGTGTTTAGTGGCAGACCTTTGTGGGGAACATGTTGAATGCTTTTGTGGGCCAGCAGCAAAGAGATTTAGAGAAGCTCAGGATCAGGCAGCACAAGGGAATGAGTAGTGACGCTACAGATGTAGCAGTACCAGATGCAATGCTAGGAAGACTCAAGGCCAGAAGCCATACCTGTGAAATTTTCATACATCTCCAACACATGAGCTCTGCTAATCTTCACCAGCATAAACCAGAAAAAGCAGCTTGGCATCAGACACAGACGTGTGAGACAGAGCCATGTGTTGCCTGCAGGTGGGCAACCAAAGTGTTGCATGGTGGAGACAGGACCATCTGTCAGATGGACACCTGAGGCAGATTCCCAGGAGAGGAGGTTGTCATCTGTCATGGCTAACAGGCAGCCTCCTGGACACAGTGCTCATTGGGAATACCTATCACTACTGGACCTCAAAAGTCTGGAAACACTGGAAAGAAGAGCTTCCTGGCTCTTTTCCTGCAGATATTTCACAGTACTGTCTAGGGGAACAAATGCACTTTATCCAAAAAGAGAGGAGCAACTCATAGAATGGTCAATGTGTATGTGTTTTACAGTTTTAATGGTCAAGTTTTATGGCAGTATCTTATACTAAGATATCTCTCTATATTTCTCAAACTAAATGAGTTTATTCCAGCAATATAATAACCACATCTGAATGCTTCTTGCTCAAACTCACAGAGAGAGATAAAAAGTAATAAGGACTTTCCAAGAACCTGAAAACCCCTTTGTTTGAATACATTTGGGACAAAACTTTTAAAATGGGCTACAGTCTGGCTTTGTTGACAACAAATCAACAGCAAACACCAATGTATGGACACCCCAGGAATCATTTACTAAATACATCTTTATTAATAATAATTGCACAATTGAACATAAGTTTCTGCATTGACAGAACATGATGGGATTACATTAACTCATGGAGGTCTGATGCCATGCACAATCCAAGCACAAGAACACCTCTATGTATTTTTAACAGTTTCTAACTTCCATCTCTAGAGAGACAGTTTCAAGGCTAGCTAAAATTTTAACACATATGTAGATTGTCAAAATTGGATCTCTAAATCCCTTGCTAACCCTGAAAATATTTGCAAGTTCTGAATGGGATTTTCTAAAGCACGCCATGTTGGAAAACACTGCCCCAGCAAAAACTGTTCAGGAGTTTCACCTGGGTGTTTTCTGTGACATCTCACTTATTAATACTTTAAGAGCTGTTTCTAATCATGCAAAAGGATCCCACAATAAATTAATCAAAGGAGTGAAATTCCAAATTGCCTAGGAAACATGGACAAGCCAACATCTAAAAATGTATCTTCCTGGTGACCAGCCCACCCCATAGCTCTCAAGAGGAACCCCACTCCTGCAACAACCAAAATTTTCATCTGCCAAAAGAGATGTCTGCAGCTTCCCTCCAGCTGAACATTTCAGGAATATCACTGTCGCCTTATGGAATAGCACAGCCACCTTCGCTTAGGTGATCTTCCACTTGTGAACAAGCAGGTGAAGGAATAATAGTTTCTAAATGTGGAGCATGGGGAAAACTCCTCACTTTGTCAGCCTTCTGGTACACTACAGAGCAGCAAGCAAAATTGCAAATAATCCTGAAAAGTGGGCAATACCTTGTAGCTTCCTGATGGCTGAGGTGAGAGAAAAGTGTGCATGCCATAAAGGCTGGTAGCAGGTGGGCAGTGGTAGGTTCTGCCCCATCACGCTAATCCTACAGCAAGGTGAGGCTAGACAGTCAAGGTTTTGAACATCCCATCGAAGAAGAATTTATACTTTTTCTGATGCACATGCTAAGCAATTGCCGGTTCTGACAATTGCTTAGCATTCTGTAGACACACTGCTTTTTAATTGGAAACACAGACAAACTGAGTAGAGATTTGTGTTCCTACTGTAACTTCTTTTACAATGTAGCATTTGAACTGGCAGATCTGCCTTTTAAATACAATGATTCTGCAACACCTTCTATTTCCAATTTTAACTAATAATCTTGGCTTTTATAGTAATACAACCAAGTTAACAATAAAATAATAACCCAGTTGTGCAACCCCAGTTCACTTTAGGCCTTGGCTGTCCACCAAGCTCTTCTCTGATTTCAGCAAAATCTGTAACTGGTAGAGTTATTATTAAGATTGAAAGCACTACTAATAAATGCCCACTGTTACCATCACTTTCCCTCATTCTTGCTGCTGCTTCCTTGTACAGCAGAGACCAAGCTCCAACGCACCACCATCCCTTGGCACCGTACTTATTGTATGTCACTGCAGGAGTGTTTTCTACAAAGTGTTGTTCAACCACATCCGTAATGCAGGGGTAAAGATGAGAACTGAACCCGTCACTGACACCACCAGAAATAACCACAAGAAGATCCGATCCAGGACTTGAGCTACAAACTTCCAGTCTTGTACAACCTGGGAAGGACAGAGGGAGGATAAACATAAATGGGAACAGTGCCTTGTACCGTGTTGATACTGCCACATACATTTCAGCTCCCCAAATCTGGTTTTAAAATTAGACGTTTGTAGTATGTGGTAGCCTAACAGAGATCACATTTTCAGCATTCATAGCTGCAAATCACTCAAACCCCCAAAGCAATTCCATGGTTCTACACACACGGTGATGAGACTTCCTCAGCCTGCACAAAAGCTTTTAGTTAAGTGCATATAGGAAAATTTACAGACTTAACCTTGAGGATGGCTTTCCAGTGAACTAGACTTCTTACAGGGAGATCTGCATCTCCCTGTAAATGCCAGGATGAAGCTCTGGCACAGCACTTGGACACAGGCATTGATTCCAGTACAAGCAGTTCGATTTAGTTGTGTTTGCTTAAGTGATTTGTTGACTCAGATTGGGTACACTCAGGAAGGGAATTTTGAATGGTGAGTGCTGGCACAACTATGCATACAGAAAAGTGCTATTTATTAAGGTGATTCAAGGAACCTTTTTATTAAAATTATTTCAGCTTCAAACAGGTATTAGTCATGGACAGTATGTGTTCACATACTACATGTTCGATTTACTGTTCTTCTTTCTGCTGTAGTCCTCTCAGCACAGTTTAAAAAGCCCTAGCTCTTGCTAGGAGGATGCTAACAGACGTTTTTCCAAATGCTGTCAGCTGCATTGCTCTACTGTCCTACCCTTGCATGAGATTCATTGTTTGCAAACACAGTAATTTGCTATTTTAAACGCCAGGAGGCTCATTGAGAGGTGAAGGATAGTAGTTGGGAACTAATCTAAACAGGTGTTAGTGAAAATCTAGAAGACCTTCACTCAAAAACGAGCAACTATGCAATGCACAGTATATGTTAGGAGGCCAGGATTGACACCTGGCAAATGCCATAGAGCTTGCCTGTAAGCATAAAAGTTACATTTTTGAGCATATGAGTTTAGAGGCTTCCAGATTTGTGTTATCCCAAACTTACACAGGACAAGGTTATTCAAATAAACCCAAACCAGGAATTCCTCCAGGAGAGGCTCCTAGAGTCTCTTGCATCTGCAAAGAGCAGGGACTCACAAAACAATACGCTTCTCCTTGAAGCTATGGGTTGTCTCAAAAAACATTTATCAAGGTCTGAGGAAGAATATGTCTCAGAGGAGAGCAGGAGGAAGAGGCAAAGTGAAAAGCATGAAGAAAAGGAAAGCACTTGGAAGCCATTACTGTCAAGGAAAGTGTGATTCCCTCCTTGCCCTCCCTCCACCTACCTGTCTGATGAAATGCTCCTTTTTAACGTGCCTGGAAATGTACCGAATGGAGTCTGCTGCCTTTTCCAGAAAGGCAATAACAATTTTTTCTCCGTCTTTTGCTTGCTTGTATTTCTGCTTCCCCAGAAACTTTGATTTCGAGGTGGTTCCCTTTTCTTCAGTCTCTGCGAACGAGTAGCGATCTACATGGGCCCTCATGCAGAGCAGACGAGGCAGCTTCTGGAGAAAGAGCCTTTTGACCCAGGGTGCCATGGGATGGTAAGTTGCTGAGGATCGGTGGTGGACATTGATAACAAACACAGTCACGATGATAGAGAGGGTCACAAAAATCATGATGAAGAGCAGATACTCACCGATCAGAGGGATGACTTTGGAAGAAGAAGGGATTATTTCCTCAATCACTAAAAGGAAAACAGTGAGGGAGACTAGAACTGACGTTGACAATGAAAGCTTTTCACCTTCATCTGAAGGCAGGTAAAACACCAGGACAGTTAGAAAAGACAATCCCAGGCAAGGGATTATTAAGAAAAGAGTGTAAAACAACGGAAGGCGTCTCAATACAAAGGAGTAAGTGACAAATGGGTAAGAGTACAGCCCATCCTTCCTGTTGCCTTTCATACCTTTGGCGTTTAAGATCTCCCACTCCCCATTATCAAAGAAGTCTTTCCTGTCTACATTTTCGTCCACTAAAATCAAGTCCACCATATTGCCATCATATGTCCACGACCCAAACTTCATGGAGCAGTTCTGCCTGTCGAAGGGGAAGAAGGTCACATCCATTGTGCAGGAACTCTTATAACTGGCCGGTGGTGTCCAGGTCACCACTCCATTGTACTTCACTATGGCTTTGGTCATCAGGGATCCCTCAAAACGTCCATCAGCACTGGGAGTTGGACAGGAAGAAACAGTACCAAGTTCAGGACTATGTTTGCCCCAGTCGTACCCCATTTGAGCTCTGTTTTCTATCCCTCACCTGGAGCACAAGGTGCACAACATTCACACAGCCTAAAGAAGCAGCTTTCTGACAGCACACACAAGCCTCACAGTAGCTGACATGCATTGCCCAAGCTCTGGCCCAAGCCCAGAGCAAGGAGCCACACTACTTACTTTTCAAACAAAACGATGTCAGGAAGCCACAGAGACTCAGAGGGGACCCGGATAGCAGTGATCCCACCATATTCATCTGGATTCCAGGAGAGCTTGTGGTCAATCCATTCCTATAACAAAACAGCAGAGTCCTCTGCCCACTCATAAGCAGTGACCTCTTTCCTCACCCCTGCATGAGCCTCAACAGCTGCACACACAGCACAGCAGGCAGAACCTGCTATGAGGCTGCTCAGCTGCAGAGAGGGTGCGAGACAGGCATGGCTGGGAGGTGGTGATCCCCACAGGCACTGCTCCTCCAGACACAGGTGAGACCCAAGAACCCATCCCTAAGCTAGCAACCTCAAAGCCAGCACTCCTGGAGAGCACTTGACTCTCACTTCACTCACCACCCTGCACAGCCCACCTGAGAGTAGTCTAGAATGAAGGAGCCACTTCCTTTTAGTGCAGCAGCTTTCCTTCCCTCTGAGAACCAGCCCAAGCTGGTTTTGGCTGGCACAGACCCCATGGAAGACCCCATGGACCCTAGGTGATATGGGTACTAGCACTCAAATGACAAAGAGGTGGCCTTAATTCACTTTTCAGTGGAGACCTGGCTTTTTTCAGTAAATGGAATACAACACCTAATATCTGTACACCATCCTTGCAAAAAAAAAAAAAAAAAATTGGTCTTTCATCAGAAAGACCTGCAGACTGTTGCAGGAAAAATAATATGATGTTATTGTAAAGTATCTGGTTACAAAAGCAGGGAGAATCCTCTCCATTTTCATCATGTTGAACTCTAGAATAACTGTGTCTCTTTTTTTGGATTTTCAGATAGGGAGGTCATAACAAAGTGGCTCCAACAACCTGGAGATTTCCACAGAAAGGCAATGGAAAATCAGCTCTCTGATCCTTGTTCATTATTGATGAGGATATTCATTTGCCCACAGAAATAGCAGCAATGTCATACAAAAGCTGTAGGCTGTGGTCAATACCAAGAAGTGGAAGATGAACCAGTTTCCATTAAGCTGCAGCACTAAGAGATCTCCAGGGATGCAGAGGTCTCAGCCTTCACTGGGTAATTTCCGTCATGACTTAAGGATGAACCAAAAAAGCAATATTTTCTATTAATTCTCCATATGGTTCCCTTCTTATTTCTTTGACTCCACATGCTTTTCACAGCTATACTAGAGAGACTTGTTATTGTTCAGGTGTGGAAAGAGAGGAGGGGCCATTGCTGCTCATAGCCTCAGAATCGGGGACAGAGTACACCACTTTTAGCATGATCTTTTCTCTGAAGATGGTTTTCTAACAGATGTCTCCAGAAGCCTAGGCTGTTAAGTGGTCAGTCTCACCTATGTCCTGGACACTTCCTGTAATAGGTACAACGAGGCTTAGGCTGGAAACATACATCATGCAAGGGGATGGACAGGGCCGAGCAGCAACCAACACAGTCATCTTGTAGCCTCCTAACACAAGAGCAGCAAATACCCTGTGAGCCAGGGTAGAATCATCCCTCTGGAGTTTAACTGGAGCAGCCTCTTGGCCTGGGCGATTTGCTCCATCTGCAATACTCCTCACTTTCTCCCTGCCCTGCATTGATTTCTCTCCCAGCTAAAGTGCTCTTTCGTGTCTGCAAGGCAAATGGTTGTTTCTTCTTACTAGAGCAGAAAATAGGTTGAGTGCAGACTTGGAAGATGAGCAGTTTAAAACAGGAATCTCCCTGTGGGCTATGCTGACACAAACCATAGCATCAGATGTATAAGGCTCTTTCCTCTCTTCTCCATTTTTTCCAAGCTGCTCCAGACATTGCAATCGCTCTCTCCTTCCTCCAGTTCCACCAAATTTCCATTTCTGTGCTGTCATTGAAGAGTTTAACCCACTGCTTGTGGAACAAAAAACATGAGACTCAGATTCTTGACCCTTGCTAGCAGGGGGTCATAGCTTGCCTGAATCCAGACACTTTCTCAGCAACCACTAAAGGCTCCTCTGAACCTTGTGTATCAGCCTGCTTGTGTATCAAGTCCCACCATCTTGAGCACCAGGATGTTTGAGGTTAACAAAAAAAGGAAAAGAAAATGCTTGTGTTTTAGGTTTGCTTATCCAAGAAAATTAAGACTCCTGCTGAGAAATTATGAAGGTGATCAGGAGCAATCAGCATGGATTCACTAAAAGTAAATCATGCTTGACCAACCTCATTGCTTTCTATGATTAAACATCTCCCTGGATGGTCAAGAGAGAGCTCTGGATATTGTCTACCTTGATTACAACATGGCTTTCAACACTGTCTCTCTCAGAACATCCTTGTAGGCAAACTCAGGATGTTTGGACTAGATGAGTGAACAGTGAGGTGGGTTGAGACCTGGCAGAATGGCAGATCCCAAAGAGCTTGTAATCAGTGCCACAGGGTCAGGTTGGAAGCCCGTCACTGGTAGTGTCCCCCAAGGTTCCATACTGGGCCCAGTGTTGTTTAACTTTGGATGAAGGCACAGATGCCTTCTCAGCATGACACAAAGTTCAGAGGAGTGGACAATACCCCAGAGGGATGTGCAGCCCTTCAGAAGGACCTTGACAAGCTGGAGGGATGGGAAGAGAAGAACATCTGAAATTTAACAGAGGCAAGTTCAAGGTCCTGCAGCTGGGGAGGAACAACCCCAGGCACCAGCCCAGGCTGGGGGTGACCTGCTGGGAAGCAGCTCTGTGCAGAAGCACCTGGGGGTCCTGGTGGGCAACAAGCTGTCCATGAGCCAGCAGTGTGCCCTGGGGGCCAAGAAGGCCAATGGGACCCTGGGGTGCATTAGGGAGAGCATTGCCAGGAGGTCAAGGGAGGTAATCCTGTCCCTCTGCTCAGCACATCTGGAATTCTACTCAGAAGATCTGGTGAGGTAGATCTGGAGCTCTGTGTCCAATTCTGGGCTCCTCAGGACAGAGAAAACATGGACAAAGCAAGTCCAGCCAGGGGTAACAAAGATGATGAGGGGACTGGATCATACCTCTTACAAGGAAAAACTGAGGGAGCTGGGCCTACATGAACACACAACTTCCACAGCAGGATACCTGGGTCAGGAACAGGTATTTAGTGCTCAGCCTGAGCTCCTGAGGGCACTTATACATGTGAAAACCACAGCCAGTGCCTCATTTTCCACTCCCCGTGCATTACCTTGGGTCTTGATGCTCTCAGCTCATTAAATGGAGAAGTGGTATTAGAAATGGTAACAACTCCAGAGAGCCCAACTCTGGGAAATCACAGTCCTGAGTTTCCCTGAGCTGCCCTAGCTAAAATCTGAGGATTCCAAAGGCTTCCAGAGAAACCAGTGTGTCTACAGTGCATAGGGCTTGGATCTGCAGGTGAAGGTGGGTCCTACAGCCTGCAGGAGAGTGGGTTGGAAAGGGGAGAGGACAGATGAGGGCAGATGAGTTCTGCTGTCTGCCTAAGTGGGTATTCAAAGGGAGCAAAGATGTGGCCTTGTGCACAAAAGGGGCTCTACAACTGCAGCTAAAGTGGGGAAATCGTAATACTGCAGATAATTCAGGGCAGGTTCCCAGCAGTTGTATTTGGACCAGAGAGAAATTTCTCCAGCAAAAGGGGAAAATCCTGTTTTCCCCAGAGTGAGGGAAAGGCTGAGCTTCTCCCTCTTCAAGGGAAAGACCATCTTTACACGCAATATCCATATTGGTTTTAGATGTCTTGCTCCAGCCAGAATCTCACACTCACTGCAGCAGTAGAGTACCCAGACTGAGACAAAAATTGAGTCACATTTCTCATCCACCAGCCCAGTGACCCCCAAGAACTTTTCCTCATGGCATGATTTCAAGTACAGTTTGTTTTTTATGTCCTCTGCCCAGGATCAGCTGACATCTTTACAGATACTCACAAGGCTGAGAGACTTAAAATAATTGTCACAAGGTCAATAAACTGGTGCAATGTAATCTAAACCAAAAACAGTGTTCTTCAGGAGTGAAGAAGAAAGGAGACCAAACAGTTCAACTTGCACCTTACCATCATTTGTATAAATCACCATCTGTTCCAGAAGCAATTATGATAGAGAGATCTGATTCATTTGCTACAGCTTTTAATGGGAAAAGGTCTGTGGGGTGTGTGTGTGTGTGTGTGTGTGTGTGTGTGTGTGTGTGTGTGTGTGTTTGTGTGTGTGTGTGTGTGTAACATACTGGCCTCTTCTTTCTCTTTACATATGCTGAGGAATTGAGGAATGAAGAAATCTATCCGAGGCACCACTCTTGGCTCAGACCAGGGAGACAGTACTTGTGTGACCTCTAAGTATGAGACAGGATAGTCCCTCAGGGCACATACAACATCCCAGGGATAGCCACTGCAATACCAGCTTCCCTGAAATAAATACTGGCTTGAGCACACAGCTGGGGTGCAGGTCAGGAGAAGAGGGTACCCTATGTCCTAAAGGCCACCTTGCCTGCCTTTCTGTCTCCATACATAGGCTGAAGGGAGAAGAGTGAAGAAAAACTTCAGGTTAGGTATCTTGGTGCTGGCCACTTAGCATCATGAAATGGGATGGATGGCACAGTGGGCAGCAAACTGAGATGGCTACTCAGCTCAGCAGTTTCCATGGGGAAAAGGGAGGTCTGATGTGGTCTAATTTACCTGTTTCAGCCACACGTTGGTTGTCATCAGCTGATTCTTCTCATCCTAGAGTGAGACAGGGAGAGAAGATTGTAATACCAAAGCAGCCATTAGAAACAGACCCTGTGCCTGCTGAGTCCAACCCTGTGCCAAGATGAGGAGATCCCTATGGTCCTGTTTCCCCATGGGCTTGGGCTCTTCACTCACCACTAAGGGAAAGTGACTGACTTGCTAGGTGCTGTCCCTGCTACCACTGGGAGCCTCTGAAAACTGAGGTCTGGCATTTTGCAGGAGCTCAAAGGAATCATATGCCAAAGACCCAGGATGCAGCCAGGGCTCAGAAAGAAAGTGGTAACAGGTTACACATGCTTGTGGGCTCATAGGATGGCTCATCTCCCCACACTGCTCAGCCTGAAGGGAGTTTGGGAAGATACAAGCTGAAACATTGCCCTAAATATGTAAATAAAGCACAAAATTAGAGTGTGCTTTCCACAGCACAAAGGGACGTTACCAGGGGCTGGGGGATGTAAGGAGCACATTGTTGTGTGGGTACCTCTGGGCATTGTGCAAATTCCACCATGCACTGCAGCAGAAAGAGAAGGGAAATTTCCACAAGGGAAGAAACACCAGATTAGCTATGTTGCGTCTAGAGTTTTATCTTAGTGGGGTTAAGACTTGAACTATCTTTGGCATCAATGCTAGCTTGCTTGGAATGAATAACATACAGCCAGGTCTTACTCTTCCTCAGTCCTCTCCTGTAGATGTCTTGTCATTAAATTGCAACATAAATGTCAAGGACTGTCTGGCATGGGTTGTTTGATCAAAACCTTATGGAAATTAGGCCATATTCCCTAAGAACAATAGGGGAAAAAGGACCTTCAGATTTCCTTCAAAACAAATGAGTCCTACAGTCCATGCTGTGGGTGGAGGGGAACAGGGTGGGGAGAAGGTTGTATCACCAGCAGCATTTCATGCTCAGTGTTTTGCTGCCCAACCATCCAACCATCACTGTGCATTTCTTGTGTCAAGAGGCAAAAGCTAATTACATTACCAGTCCTCCCAGGTGGAGGCATAACTATCTATAAAAGTGGTGTTTTACTAACACAACACTTACCACATCCACAAGCTGTGATATCTTTAACCCAAAAAGGACTTTGATGGTGTCGTTGGAGTTTTCCACAGGGCGGACCCATTTCTGATAGCCTTCAAATAAGTGCTTGAGGAGCGCATCCTCGTTTTCAGCAACTGAACTGAAGGCATTCACATCTGGAAGAGAGCAACACAGAGTGGAGGCATTGCCAGAAAGCAGACATAGAGAATGCCATGACCTGAAAAAGTGAGACAGAGCAATGATGTAAGGAAAATTCACCTCTGGGCAGCAAATTGTCTTGTACAGCAAATTCTGCAGGAATTCAGATGCACAGACTCTCAGCAGAACCAGGGCAAGTTAATGGAAAGGCAAGATAGCCCAAGCCCAATTCACATTAAAAAAAATGATCAGAGCAGTGATGACTTTGTACCAGGTTTATGTTTTCTATGGACTTTTTGCCAAAGCAAAAAGAGCCCATCAGGCAGCAGTAAGAGCTGGATGATGCAGTCAGAGCTAGATCTGACAGGCAAGCACAGAGATATCATGGCCTGTACCTGCATGACTTGTGACTCTCACAATCACTGACACCATTCTCCCCCTTCCACTTACTACCATGAAGGGGGAAGGGCAGACCATCCATCCTTTCCCAAACTTCAGCCCACTCCCTGTGGTGTTGAGGTTCTGACATGATCTCCATCTCTTCCCTTGTGCACAAACACAGCAAACAAGAGTGAGAAGGATCTTATCTCTCTTCAAAGCTACCATGGAGGAAAAAAGACTGGCCCCACACAACAGGGGTCACAGCCAATATTGCTGTGTTAGCAGTCAAAAGGGACCTCACAGGACACTGTGAGCTTGTGCCTTGACAGCCCCAGGATGAGCAGAACATCTGTGCCTGGATTGCCAAGCATTAGGTTGGGAGGGTCTGCAGGCCCATGGATCTGCAGTGCCAGGATCTGACAGTGGGAGAGCCCTGGAGGGCACAGTCAATATGCTCACATACCATGAGCATCAATGATCAGAGTTAAGGCAGCCCCCAGCAGGGACCCTGTACCACATGGAGAGAAAGGGCATTCAAACACAGCAGCCCTTCCAGAGAGAAAACTGGAGGCAGAGGATCATGCTCTGCCTCTACATGGAGGAAAGGATGTGACCACAGACCACTATCTCTGCCCACGTCCCCTTCCCCAGCAGCTGCTGCCCATCTCCTGAGCATGACAGGCTGTGCAGCCTCCTCCACCTTGGTCAGGGTCCGTCTGAAGCTGCAGACAGGGCTACACCTCACAGCAAGCAACACAGCTGAAGAACTGCCCAAAGCAAAAACCTGATCTCACAACAGAGTTTTCCATGGGACAAAATCATTCTTTAATGCTCTATGGATTCTCTCAGGATAGCACAAGGTCCAAGCAACACTGTCATCCCCACTTCCAGACACAGCAAGATACCATTCCTCTTTGAAGGAGCTATAAATTCTGAAACCTAGTGCTTGCACTCACAAAATAACAACTTTACTGTCAGATGTTCTAGCACAAGCTGTGCTTGTCCTCTGTATCTGCAATACAGGTGAGGTGGGGTTACCAAGCCCTGGGCAGGCAGAGGCTGGCTGATCAGAGGGACCTTTCACACTCATTTCTACCTGTTCCATCCCAGAGCCAGGCATAGCTCATGAAGCTGTCAGCACAGTTTATAGCAGTCCTCTATAGGGCCACACTCTGTCTTGTCACTTTGTCACAAGCCCTTGAGGTCTGCTATTTCCAGAAATGCCCCTTCTCTTGTTCCAGGGTTTATTCTCATGCCAGAGCTGACCCTAGCTCCTCCACAGCAAATAATGGACAGAGTCTGCGGTCTGTCCTAGGAAACTAGATTGGTTGCCCAAACGTGGCAGATGTGTATTGCATCTGCAACCAAAGGAAGAGAAAGAACACATTTCTCTCTCCTCACTACCCACAGCCTCAGAGGTCCAGCCTCTTGACTCTAAGAATCTTTGCAGAGCCTCTATCTCCTAGACATTTCGCTTTCCCTTTAGGAGATTCATAGGGGTGTATGGTTGTTAAAAACAAGAAATTTAACAGAAAAGCCCGTGAATAGAAAAATCCATAACCCCAAAATATGCGCGATCAAAACAAGCTCTTACTGCCAGAATACATTGCTCTGTTTTCATCTGAGTATGACATCCTGCACACATATATGCAGCCACACACCCTTTGTGTCTGTGGGTGTGTATGACTCCCCCGCAAAAGAAAAGAGTGCCATTTCACAGCCCACATCTCACATAAAGTTCAGGTACCTAATGCTCCAAGGGGGTATAGAAGACAAGTGGTAAAGCTGGGTTTGGGGCTAGATATGTTGAATCTCATCTGCTGAGGAAGCCATGAAAAAGAGAAAAATACTTGAGGAGCCTCAAAAGGAAGAAAGTCAGAAGGAAGAAGATTGCTGCCTTTTTAAGAAAGCCTCAGTACTTGCACAAAGACAGTTTAAAAGCAGAAGTTATTAATGAGAAATAAGAAATATCATGTGGGAAAATAGCCTAACAGTTCCTTTGACCAAGCCCCACTTTATGGTTAAGCTAGATAAACCCATGGAGAAAATATTGAACAAAGTAGCACTGCCTTTGAAAAAAAGAAGAGGAGCAGCCATAGGACAGATACATTTCTGAATCTACCATATGATGGGCTGAGAGGCAAAAACTGGGGAGCTCCCTGGCAGGTTAACATGCATTCAAGCATTCATGCACTGTCTACCATCTCCCCCCTCCCCCAGTTTCCTGTCTCTCTCTGTGATCTGTCCAAGTAGCAGTTCCCCATGGGTGGAGGACAGGAGCTCTGGGGCAGAAAGTCTGCTAAACAAACGTGCAAAACACCCCAATAAGTACAGACAAGACACTTAGCCTTTTATCAGTTTGCCTGAAGCATTTCAGGTTTTCTCTTGGTGACAGAAATTCTCCCTTAATTCCCTTTCGCAGCCAGAAGTCAAGCTTAGGTTTTTTTGTTAATTTCTAGCCAGCAATTGCCCCACCACCAGTTATTAAAACCTAGTTGTCAAACTGACCATGGTTGCAACTCAAAGGCAGCAACTGATACAACCCTCTTCTGCTACTCACACGGTGTTTAGGGGAAGCCAGCATTCATCGTATCCCAGAAAGCAGCAGCTAACCGGCCAACAGAAAAAAAACCTGAACAACTGCAGCTCAGCTTGGAAGGAGAAGAAGAAATCACACCTACCTGAGCGGCTCAGACACAGCACAATGAGCACTAGGCAAAGCATGGGCACCACCGTGGCTTTTCCTTTAAATCTGATCTTCTGTTTCCATTAGCAAACTGGTCTCATCTTTGCAGGGGACTTAAACAATCTAGTTAAAAATCGAAGCAGGCAGTAGAGTCGGCAAGGCAAGGCAGCACCTTCCTAGCCTTATCTTGCCCTCATTATGACGCTTGGTAAATCACACTTCATTGATTTTCAGTCAGCTGTCACATCCCGTAAGCCTTAAAAAGGGCTCTGGGTCCTAAACTCTGACTGATCTCCTTGTGGCAGTATTTACATGGATACAAGCACTGCGGTCTAGGAGTATGCGAGAGGAAAGTCTTTTAAGGAGGAAAAATATCTTTTATGCTACTGCTGATTACAGCTGGGGAAAAGAAAAAAAACAGGCCACAGTTCAGACTCAAAGATAAATCAGATGCCAGATTATCTGTTTGTTCCAGCTGTATCAGTTGTAGAGGCAGATTCCCTACAGACCTAACTTAGCTTATTCCATGCTACATTTGCTGTTCTGGAGCTATAAAATGAATTTGGGGGGCAAAAAAATCCAGTAAGAAGTAAGTGGGAAAACAATGCTGATTTCTAAATTTATATCTCATACACAAAAGATCACAGGCAGTAGCACAGAAGTCCTTGCACAGTACTGTCCACTGGCACAGCTTAACACAGAATGCTGCCCCGGGGTCTTGTGTTTACCAATGGGAGTGAGGATTATTTAGCCAGTTTCTCTGTAGTCAGGCCTCTGTCAGTGCCCCTCCCAGTGTTATCTCACACAAGGCTCCTTTCAGAAACCACCAGAAATTGGAAGTAATCACCAGAAATTGCTGATAATCAAAAGGGATGCAGGTTCCTCTTTTCCCATCCCCCTGACACTCCTCTGCTGAAGGATTATCAGGATCTTTGTTTTCTTCTCAAATGAGAGTCAGTTTGGCATATCTCGCGAAAGAGGAGGTTTTCTCCTGAACTTTTCAAGTTTAAGGAAGAGGCATTCAAAACTCTTTTAGCTTGTCCCCAAACCCAAAACTCCTCCTGCTTTGATTATTTCATACTGGCTATTAAATTGCTTGCTGTCTTTTATATGGAAGCCTGGGGTTTTTTTCAGCAACACAGGGTACACTTCTGGCAGTGGTCCAGATTTTGGTACAGTCACAGGTTTTGTGATTCAGATTTGCCTTATCTAAAATCCTCACAGAGGATTGATAACTGGCAGCTGTAATCTTACCAGATTATTCATCTTGCTGTAACGAAAAATTTGCCATATAAGTGTGGTTCAAAGTCACATTGCAGCTGCAAGTAACATTCTTGTAGTGTCGTATCAACTTATTCATGCTTCTGTGGCCTTGCAGCCTACCACATCCCCAGCTCTCAGGCAGGCCACTGGCAGCGACTCACTGAGTTTGCTTTTTCCACTACTCTACTACACACAAGAAATCTGCAAGGGCCCTTCCTAGCTCCACAGTTTTGCCCCTGGTCACCTGGCAGGACTAGAGGAGCAGCTGGGTTCTTCCGCACCTTTCCTCATCGCAGATGCAGAAAGCCATGCAAAAACAAGAGTGCAACCAAAAAACCATCTTCAATGAAGTGTACTTTCAACACCAGCTGCTGTAACTTCTCAGTTTCCCTATTAGATCGACACCAGGCACAAGCACACAATTTCTTGAGCTACACAGGAAAGCTCCTTTTTTTTAATGCTGTCTTCAAGAGAACAGCAGTCATTTGGCTAGAGTGGTGGAGACAGACAGCACCACAGACTGCCACAAAGCTGAGTCTAAACAAAATCATTCTGCCCGACACAAATTTTTCTGCAACAAGGTTACCACTTTAAAATGCTCTCTGCAGATTATCCCATACTTTCCAACATGTTTGTGGTCCTGTACAAGACTCATCACCCTCAGATCATCCATCCTTTAGCCTCATGACTGCAAGCCCCAGCCTTTGCCTATTGACACCTCTGATTGTAGTTACTGCCTGAGATTGCATTCAGGCATTGCTCTGGTAGGCAATATGAGAGACACTTGTTTCTCACAGGGCTTTAACATGCTGCCTTATGGCAATGGAGTTAATTTATTATCTGCCTACAGGAGTAGGCTTTTTGCTACTACATGATAGTTGCTTAGAGGGAAGTATGAAGTATGGTTGCATTACCGTTGCCCCCACCCACTGCCTAGACAGTGACAAGATGTAAGGACGAGGTTTGCCTGGTCATTGGCTTCCAGAGTTACCAGACAGCCAGAGGAGAGTATTAGAGACAGAAATTCTGTTTGCCTGTTGTTTTCTGTTCACAAGTCTTCATGCAGCCCTGCACTCCAACATTTTGGAAAGGGAGGTAGGCATGAATACTCCCATTCTGCCAAACGGGCCATGAAGCATAAGGTGCATCTATTCTGAGATAGCAAATTAATTCTTGGGCAGAACTCTGCTTGTGGCAGTAGCTGAGTAGCTATTCTCTATTGAGAAAATGTCTTTGCTTTTCCACAGTTTTCATGGGATTTGTAACTAATATGAGGCTGCAATTCCAGGCTGCAAAGAGCCATGCACAGCCTAGACACAAGCAACACTAGAGCTGGGCATCACTCTCTAGGCAGCAAAAATGCCAAGAAAAAGAGAATTCTACCTAGAGGCACAAATCCATCTGTTTGAGCACACATGGTTAATACTAGCAGCAACCGAAAACTCAAGGTTATGATGGACAGTCCTAAGCCATGTTACCTGAAGGCACCATGCAGTCAAGCATGCAAAACAGATTCCAGGGAAAGGTGACAGTGCTGTCTGGCAATCAGAGGGTGGGAAACCTGGATTAAAGTGAGAAGGATGGTGAAGGGGAAGGACATAGATGGGAGATGCTCTGAACCAGAACTCTGAGACTTTGTTTCAAAAACCCAGAGCCAAAGCAGAGTTTGCTGCACCCCTAGGTTTGTCAGCTCCAGGCAGGAGAAAAGAGAGATAAGGTAGCACTATGGAAGAAGAGACACCTTTTAGGTAGATGTGTCTTCTCCTTCCCAAACACATCTCATTTCCTGGTCCATGTAGGTGACATGCCAGAAGCCAAGGAAGGCCCACCTTGTGATGTCCTGGAAGCTCCCAAGGGAGGACTGAATCCATCTTGTCATGAACACTTGCCCATACTCCTATGAGGGAGAGTTTCTGGAGAAAAAATGGGGTGGGAAAGGGCAGAATTCCTGGAATCTCATCTTTGCCCTTACATTTCTCAGGTTCTTTCTAATCTCAGTTCTGGCCAGCAGCAGACACCTCTCTTCACCCAGCAGCTTCTCAAAACGTGTGCTTTCACTGGGCAAGAACAGAGCTGGTTTTAGCAGCTCACCAGTTATTTTTGCAGCACCAAACATTTCCACGTGCCAGATGGAACAGTTTGGAGCCGACGGTCAACCTGTCCATACATACTGTCCACTCTTCTCCAGCTTCCTGTCCCTGCAAACGCCCTCCTTCTTGCTCATGGCTTGCTTGCCGGCCCCACCAAGCAAACCCCCACGCAGCCCTCCCTGCTGCCCTTTTCCCCTCTAATCCGTCACTCCTCCTCCACACACCCTTTTCTACCGCAGTTCCTCAGCACAGTCGCCACTTTCCTCCTCCACCTGGCCCTCCGCCTTTTCCCCCCTCGCTTTCCCCTCAGGCCGAGCGGGGGTGCTCTGGCCCGCTCCAGCCTTCCCGCGGCGCCGTGGCCGCAGTCCCAGCTCCCCGCCGTGGCAGGCCGCGGGCAGCGCAGGCAGCGCCGGAGGGCCCGGCTGCTCCCGGGACTCCAGCCGGGCCGAGGGAATGCACACGGCTGCTGCAGTATTACACGCTGCGAGAGCTCTGTTGGGGAGACCAGGGTAACGTGAATACATTTCATGGATGGAAATGTATGCGTTTGTCTCTGTGTCGGCCAAGGAGAACGCACCAGCCAGCGCAGCAGGCTCAGAAAGGGCTGAGGGGAGCCCTTGAGGCAGCTGCCTCAACTGAATTCGAAAAGTTGCACCCACGCAGTTGTTTCGGCGGTGATTAGGCTCTGCACGTACAGGGACAAGGGTTTGCAGTTAAAGAGTCGTTTCAGTCCTTGGTTTCCTTGGCACCTTGCTACCATGAGGAAAGCCCTCCCTGCCCTCCTTCCCGTTTCTACCACATCTATGTGAATGCAGACTTGAGATGGAGCTCAAGTCTGAGTCCCTGTGCCTTCTGACATTGCAGAGTGCATGCAACTGCCTGCTGCACATTGCTCTGCAAAAACCTCCCAGTGCTTCACCCGGCGTGGGACACGGGTCTTGGGGAGGTGCAGAGGCTCTTCATCACTGCACACCATTAATATTTCTAATAAGTGGTGTGTCGCCTTTGGCATTAGAATCGTTGTTTTCCTTTTTCAGTTCTAACTTTACCATGAGGTCTCATTTAGGAGTGTCTGGCGGCACTGTGGTCACTTCCTCATTTTGGTGACACTACCTAGCTTTGAATATGATAATTTTCAAATTTGTTCTGAGTTAATGACTGTAAACAAAGGTGTGGCTCAGCTCTGCCATTTTCTCAACTTTTCTTTCCATTTCATCAAGCTCATCTCTGCTTTCATAAATGCTCCTCGTAGCTCAAATTTTATCTGCAGCATCATGGACTTGCTGTTCAGATGTCAAGGCTTGGAATATTTCAGGGGTAAGCAAACAACTAGCAAGGATCAAGACTTTGCAAGATGCTAGAGAAAAATCTGCTTTAACAACAACTGCTTCAGGAATGACAGAGGAACTTGATTCATGCCTAACTGCATGAGCCTCTCAGCCTCTCATTTTCAATGGCTACACCTGCTGTCTAGAAGCCTTTATCCCAACACATGCAGTGCTCTATGACAAGAGGTTCTGCTTTCTCATTCTGACCGAATACAGGCTTTTTATCCCCAAGGCAATCATAAAATTTAAAGGGCAATTCTTGCTGCGTCCCATGGCCTCAATAAGCTGCATCACTCTTTGCACAGCTTTGTCCATTTCATACACTCCTCTTTGGATGTGACAGCTCCAGTAAACAGCCAGAATGGTGGTAGCTGACACATTTTCTTTTTGGAACTGCTCCATCTGGCATAGGAGGATGAGGGGCTCCCTTGAAGATATAGCAAAATTAAATGCTTTGTCAAAAATTAGATGAACTCTACAAGCTCTGTTCCTGCCCACATTTGAGGGCATTTGCTCTTTATGATCATTTGCTGAGTCAACTCAGATGGTTGTCCTGTGGGCCCACATAGTCCATGCAATCCATATAAGGTGGATTTTTTTAGCTTTAGAAATGTATCTTGACAGAGGTAATAATTCTGGACTGTCTAAAAGATGAAAGCAATTATCATGTTTCATTAGAAATGTTTGGAAGCCAATACTTCTCTATGTCTTTCTTCATTATATTACTGTATGCTGTTGTGGTGCTGTTAGAAGCTGTTCTATTTTTACAGAAAATGCAGCAGCACTAATTTTCTCAGCCATATTCAGCCTCACAAAACTCAGGGTCCTATGATGTGCATGCATTTTGCTTCAGATCATTGCTGGCTACAAAGTAGAAACTGCTCTGGCAGCAGACCAGTCAACAGACCAGACCTCACCTCTGTCAAAGTATCACAAAACCACCTTCTCCATGGGAAAACAGTGGTGAGAGATTTTGCAAGGGGTTATTAATGTAATACTATCTGCCAACTCCTACCTGTCCTTCTCTAGGGTGTCACAGCAGGGCTCAGTAAGCTCTCTGCTGTTCTGAAGACTCCTGCCTGAAAGTTTGAACTGGGATGTGAGCCTTCTATCCAGAGATGCCTACTTGCCATGCTGAGTCTTATACTGTTAGGATTATTGCCAAATACTTCATAAAGAAAAATACTTATTCCTTCTAGAGGTTTCTTAAGATTAGATAGAAATGTTTACAGGTAGGAACCAAAGACACTATATGCAGGACCATAATTTTGAACACCAGTGATGTTTTGGGCTTCTATTTTCACTGATTCATAAACAAAGATAGTACATTTAAATGTAGACCTAGAAAACAACTTTCACATAACTTCCAGAATATTCTATCTATAATAACTTATTATATGAAGCATTATTGTCCTCTTGAATGTGTACCTATATGCTTAAAATTCCATGTTATCTACCCCTAGGTATTTGCTTGCTATGTCATGATCATGAATATGTACAAACAAAACCCCATCAGATTTCATGCCTGAGAGTACTGAGTGTAGAAGAAATAAAGGCATTTGGCATGCATGCATGATAGCCTATAGCCTCAATAGAACAGTTCTCAGTAATATCAACTAGCCTGGAACTATGGAAACAATTGATGTTAAACATGAGTGTAAACATAGCATAGCATACCAGATGCTTTCACCAGATGCTTCATTCAGTTTCTGAATTAAGTCAGACTATGCTTTTCATATAATTTGCAAAAATTAACCTTTGGGCAATATATAATCATAACAAAAGTGATGTGAAAGTAATGTTAGGTAGTAGGATGCCCTGTAATTATTTGCTAATAATGGTTTTGTAATTATTTGGTATAATTTTGTAATTATGTGGTGTAACCCATTCATATATCTTAAAACAGTGTAAGTTCATCAAATAGATTAAAGTTATGAAACAGCATACTGGAAGGTTTTGATACTTAAACCACTGTCTCTACTGGATGACATCTTTTATATCTGTCATTTGTTTTGCTTCTTACAAGCCAGAGAAGCTGAATCAAAACCAAATGTTTACATCTTCACCTCACTAGAAAGCAAAAATTTATATGAAAAAAAAGAAAAAATTGATATTACCTATAAAACATACAAAAACTAGTTTTGCATTTTCTATCACGTCAGAATATCCTATTTCCTCTAACTTTTAATGGCCTGCCTGTGTCTAGTCAGAAGAATTAACCTAAAGGTATTTAGGTAACCTCACCTGTTAGTAAACTGATGCTGGGTTGGAATAACTCCCTGAACTGGGAGCAGAGTCTGACAATTTGTATGTATTAGGAGGAAGTGGAACATAGGGGATAACAGCCAAAATGCTCTGCAGACTACTCACATGGTGCAGGAGAAATGGGGCTGGGAAGATGTCCAGTTCTCCAACAGAAGGCTGGTAAATGTAGGGCCAGTTCCTGGCAAGATGATGGGGTAGAGTGCCAGGAGACAACTTGGCATGGTCCCCATAAAGCTTACAGAACAAATGCCATCTCCACTAAACTTCACAAAGGCTCAAAACCACCTTTTTACTGCCTCAAACCAAACTGGGCTGCTGTTCTCCTTCTCCACATTATCATCCTTGCATCTCTGCATGGGGGAAACTCTTCACATTCACTTTCAATGCAAGTCAGGTAATAGACCTGGTTTCATATGGTTTGTAATTTTTTGAGGCTTTCAGTAAGCCCAGAGAGCTTGATGCATTAACACCAGGTGCAAACAACATGATAATAAGTGAAATCAGAAGGATAAATAAAAAGACTGCAGCGTTTAATTCAGAGTTTAATTCCTTTATGGGTAATGGGGATGACTATTTGCATAGGAATGCTATCAGGCACTTTACTCAGTCAGGTAAATAACCATTTATCATTGTAGATGGATTTTACCTTACTGTGATCTGACAGCAGCAGCAGAGACTGCCACACTACTGTGAGCTCATCTCCTGTTGTGATATCGTAAGCAAGCACTTGGCAGCTGAAGCTACATATGACTTCATGACTTTGTTCCAAAAGAACAATGCTGCTTAGTCTTGTCTGAGACAATGAGGCTGCCACAGAAACTCTCTTCTGCACAAAGCTGAGAAAAGTCCATGGTGGACTTCCTAATGATACAACACCATTTTCAGAAATTCAAAGAAGAAATTATGGTTTCAGCAAAACTTTGCGCAAAATGTTCAGTTAGGCTTTTAACATTTCAGCACTAGCAGGTCTTCTACAGTTGATTTTTTTTGAGAGGTGGAGGGGGAAAGCTACATCAGTGTTGAGGACATTGCTCAGAAAACCCTCCCATCCCTTGAGAATTGCTAAGCTCACTTTTATATCTCTTATATATATGAATCAAGAGGCAAGCAGAATAAAAGCAAAACTCAGCTTGAAAGCACAGAGTGAAATCCATTAAAATATTAAGCAAGCATCCTCTTTCCTCAGGCCAAACTCATCCATTAACCCGAAGCAGTCTTCAGAGACATGCTTTTCATTCCAATGCTGTTTCCAACAGCCTTTTCCATTTTCATCTTTGTGGTAATTTTATAGTATGAATCAGCAAAAAGGTACCAGTCCATAAGAAGAGGTTACTGCCTCACCTTCTGAATTCAATTCCCTGTTCAATTGCTGACAAGCTCTGTAACTGAGTAGTCAGTTACAGTAGTCAGTGCTCATCATGCACAAAAGATCAGAAAATGTGTTGGAAAACACAAATGTTTAAATTCTGATAGTAATAGTAGAAAAAAAAAAGAATTTTTGTTAAGAGAGAAGAGCAGTGCTGTAGATGAGCAAGACGAGGCACACAAGGGACAGTCAAAGAAAATTATATACTGTTCGATATTATAAAAGATTTCTAGCAGGGAGAATAGTCTTACTTCTCTACTTATATCACTGAGATGGATTTACCAGGCAGCAAGATTTTATGGCAATCCTACTGTGGAAAACAAGCAAGGACAATGCCATCTCCTGTATGTGTAAACTTCTGATTTCTTCTGTCTGAAGGAGTAAAAGGTGTTGAAGGATGCTAGGCTTTTATTTGGTGTAGGAATCCAGGCAGCACTGTGAACAACACAAGAAAGCACCATTTGCAGATATTTATTTAATTTCATTGGATCTTATCACTGAAGTCATATACATGTCAATAACCTGGTGGCTATTATATGAATCAAAAAATCCAAGTTCTAGCAACCTTAGTAGACAGGTCAAGAGGTAAATATCAATATTGATGGAAGGTTGGTTATCACCATAGTGGTACTATTAGGTTAAGCTTGCTTGAACATTTAAGTGTAAAATTTATTGCATATGTATTTACAGTTTTTTTTGTTATATGAAGATATACCATGAGGAATTCCTGTGAGCTGATGACAGTATCAAAGAAAGGTAACTCCACTGATCCTATAACTGTGGTTTATGGATACCTATGTTTGACAAAGATCATTTCCAAACATGCTGTCTTCTTTAAGATGAAACAGCCACATGAGCATTCACTTGGGGGAATAGATGCTTCCTATTATACACAACTAAGAGATTTCCATGTTGTATTATCCATACTAAAGAACCTGCCCAGTTCCTCACCATGCTGAACACATAAACTCTGAGCAATTTCAGTCCCTTGTCATGCAAAAAAAAGAACACTAGTAAAAATATTTTCCTGTCTGAACTTAGAAAGAAAAAAAAAATTAAGATAAGAACTGAAAGTATATAATACAACAGGAATTGAGGTTATTGTTAAATAAATTCTTTTTCAGTCACCCAACACAATACCACAAATATTCTCCTGACAGCAACTCCTGGAATTCCTCAGATTAAAACTACCACCACAAAATCATAACATTGTATCAGCTCAGGACACCTAAGAGACAAGCCTGCATGATCAAACTTAAAATAGTTAGAATGAAACATTTATCAGTAAGGCCATTTTCTGTGGCCTGAGCTCACACGACCTCCTGTGAGAGCTGTAAGACTCCACCTTGCTGGTGCACAACCAGCTTGGGAATAACTCTTCCTTTAGATTTTCTTTATGTGCAGGCAGTATTGTTCTGGACCTGACAGCATCAGCATCACTGAAGTGATGAATGAAGAGTCTGATCCTATCAATACAAAATAAAGAAGAAGAAAAAAACAAACCACACCAAAAAAGGGCAAGAAATTTAGACTGAGCAGTAAAAGTAGGCATCCAAAGCTTCCTTCTTTCACAGTGAGCAGCTTGGTTATTATCACAAACCTGTAAGTTCAGGTGGAAGTCTAGGGATTTCTTAAGCCTTCCTCTTAATATAGTAAAAGTATCACCTCTGAAAGCGTCTTCCTTTCTGAAGACAAAAAAAAAAAAAAACCCAAAAAACTTTTTCTGCAAAATACATGTGTGAGATTCTGGAAAAGTATGAGAATGGGTGACTAACCCCTGCAATGGAGGAATGATGTGCTGAAGGAAGAATGTAAGGGAAAACAATGAATTGTCATAAGTAAGATGAAATTATCTCAGACAAGAGGGACTGGATAGAAAATTTTGCTTTAGGAATACAGCAGCATCATTCAGTCCTAAGATCCAGTAAACAGCTTTCCCTGAAATTAGTTGAGAGTAATGTTTTCCTGAGCTAACCAGGCCAATGTGGGAGGGTAGTGTTTATGTGACTCAGCCCAATATAAAGTAGAGAAAATAGATAACTCAAAAAATCAGCTTGGAAAACAGTAACTGGCCTGAGCTGAGTGTAACCTGCATATTTCTTCCCAGTAACTGTGAGGACACAGTGTCATGACACCAAGCATTTAGAGACCAGTAATGGGAATTTGAACAGTATATTTGAATTGTGATTCCACTGATATTGCAGCTGCTATATTGTGATTGTGCTTCAATGCCAGTAAATTGCTGTAACATTCTGCTACATCAAAGTCCTGGATATATCCATAAGAACTTGGTTAGAGAGTATTGGACTATGGCTGCAAGCTACTAAATGAGCCTAACACAAAAGAAGACAGAAGTACTGGAGGCAAGTCCTCCTCCTTTTTCTGGATTACCTGTCCCAGGTCATTGAATTGAAGAGCTTCCAGTAGAAAGTCACACATCTTTCACAGCCTCAAATACTGGAGCATTGGTTCTTCTACAGATGATGAGTACAGCCTCAGATTCTGCATCTTTAATGAAACCTGAAAGGAAGTGGGAAGCCTGCCTGATTTCCTCAAGTTATCCATGAATTTTAAAAAAATCAAATCAAATCAAATCAAACCAAACCAAACCAAACCAAACCAAACCAAACCAACAAACAAAACAAACCACAACAATGAAAAAACCACAACCCCCAGCACCACAACCACCACCACAACGACAACAAAAATCAAACCAAACAAACAAACAGTCCAATGACTGGTCTGATAGCATTCTCCATACTCATCCCAAACTAAAAGACACCTGGAACCAATTAACAGGAGAGGACAATCACTTTTCACAAGTTCCCGAATGTGTGAGTCCAGGCTCTACAATCTGTTTGTCTCCTTTACAATAGGAAGAAGCATCTACAGGATTATCAATGGCTAATTTTGCATAACAAAAAGCCTGATACTCAATGTTAAATGAACTAATAGGGGCAAGACTGTGGACAGACTTAATTAATAATTTAATTATGACAGTGTAATGTAACTATTCTCAAGAGAGGTACTTGAACCTTTCCTTCTCAGTAACTGATTTAAATGCTTTCTTTAATTTAAGAATATTTAAGATTACTTTCTTTGGCAACTGTTTCAAGTGAGTCATAGTGGATTAAACAGCAACTTTGCAACACATTTTTTTGCCCACTTTTAACATCTTTCAGCCTATATAACACTGTAAAGTCTTCTGCCAATTTTGTGCAATAAAATGCTGCAGTTTTATCAAATATCTCTATATAAACTAAAATTTGCATTGAACAAGTGCAAAGGGAAATCTCTAAGAGCAATTGCTGTAATATTTTTAAGTCACATATCCTGTTTTTCTCTTTCTCATTTATAAACAAATCATTATTGTGGCAGAATGTGGTAAATAAACTGCTGTGCTTAAAACAGCAGGAGTTACATACCTGAACTTGCAGTCATCAACATGCTTCAGCAGATTGTGTTTTGATGGTTAAAATTAGACTATAGCTCACCCCATTCCACCCTGCCAAAGCCACCTGATGAAGGTGTAAGCTGTCAGGAAACAGATAAAGCTACAGACTAAAACCTAAAACAGACCTCATGAAAGAAAGAAAGCAAGAAAACAAAAGAGCAACTAGAAATAACTACCTGGATCCAGAAAAGCAAATAACAGGAGGAGTCCCTTGGAAAGCATTCAGAAACTGTTAAGGTTTTGTTTTACCCAATCGACTATCTTCCTTTCCTTCTTCCTACATTCAGAGTGGGATTTGCTTTGCACTTTCTTCAGCTGCAAGAGAAATTCTTCACGATTCACACAGGACACCAAGGCCTTAAATCCTAACAGAGCTGAAGGAAAACAAAATGTCAGCAAGACAGAAGATTTCTTGGACATGTTATTTTCATTAATTTGCTGCTATAGTTTTTAAGACCACACCAGTGACAACATAGACAAGATGGTAACTGGAAACGCAAGAGTAAACAGAGTGGTGACAAAGAACTCCCTCAGCATGACAAGAAGTGATTCAAGTATTTAGCTATTAATTAAAAAACCTCTTGTGCTTGAAAAGTCCCAGTTAGATTAGACAGGGAAATCTAATACTTTATAGAGGTGCAGAAGAAAAAAAGCAAACATTGCACATAGATCAGATACCCTGCTGCAGCAAAAGGGGAATTGGGGCAACAGGGAGAAGTAAGTGAAGTGGCATTGAGTCAAAATGTAGGGTACTCCTTCACTGCCTCTGTAGTAGCTGTATTTTATAAGTATGTTCTTGGCTTTAGATGTAACTGACTTCTGCAAACTCTCTCCTCTTTATCGCATATTCTTCACTTCTCTTCCCACCAGTTTTCTTTCAATACAATTGCTACTCAGCAATTCAACTTCTGCTTAGAAGTGACTCCAATTCCTATCTGTTAAAGCATCTGCCCATTTCAAAATAAATATTTCTATAATTTAATGATGGAAATTTTTTGCCAATTTTGCTATTTTCTAACTCACTTGAATTATTCAGTTTGTAAAATAGACTTCAGTGAAGTGCATTTAAACACATGTCAGCTACTTCACGTACACTTGAACAACCACATGCCATTCTACAATTACAACCTCTGCTTTTTAACTCCCAATCACATCTTTTCAGAGATGTTTACGAAATTGGCGCTAATGCAGGTACCAGTTGTGGCCAATGCAAACAGTAACTGTTGCAGACCTCCTTAACAGATGATTGCATGGATGTACCAGATCCCAAAAGGAGAGGAAATTTTAACACATGCTAGTAGAACATATTGTGCTTATTAGCTAGAATTATTTTCCTAGCCTCACCAGTAGCAGAGAGCCTTCATCTTCTCTTTCTATTCTGCTACTACAGAAGAGAGATTGTGAAAGAGTGAGGGACAGGGTGCAGCGCATAAAAAGTCAACTGCTAAAAGAGAATCAGTTGATTCTGTACCAGTCTTTTCTCCCCACTTCAGAGCTCTGTGGTGCTGAGAGCCCTCATATGTCTACTAAAGTCCACACTTAGCCCAGACATGACTACATCAGGAGTTAACACGACTTTTTTTTGCAAGGAAAAAAAAAATAGCTGCTGCAGGAGCAATTCAAGCCTGTTATCACAATAGGCTGCATCTCTTCTTAGTAATATCATCTGCTAAGAGGAAAGGAAGACAACTGAGCAGCAGTCCCCTCTTCAGCATATTACTTCTGAAACTGTCCAGACAAGGAATAATCAACCCCCTCAATAGAAGAAACATTTATGAGTCAGCTGTTAAATCAACTTCACCAATGCAAACAGCTTAAAGGCACAAGGACTCCGCACACCAACCATGTATCAGCCATCTACCACTGTACCTAAAATTTAACTTGCAGACATAGTTTGGTTTGGCTGCTTCCCTGAAGGGTTATGAAGTTAAAACACACAAAGGAAGGGCCCAACAAACACAGCAGCCAGAGCATAAGGTGGGGGGGAAACAAGGAAGCATGGCCCAGGTGGAAGGAAATGGTCTGAACATTCAGAGTAGGAAGCTACCCATGTATTTTCAGAAGAAGCTGACATAATGCTCATTGCACTCAGAGGATTTATTTCTCCTCATGCCCTGCTTTTGGCCCTGTCTTTAACTTTTATCAGGTGTGGTACTGTTGGCCCTCTGCTGCTTCTCCACTACAAGCCAAACCTCCTGCTTTAGTGAGCTGAAAGTGCCACACAGAAGGGTGCAGCCAGCACCTCAGTCACCTCCAGAGAACTGGAGAACATAAGAAGGGTGGTGGTGAGAGTACACAACCAAGTGCTGGGGTGCAGAGCCGGGTGGCAGGGGGTGTGGTATTGCAGTAATGCACTGTGCTTCAGGAAGTCACACTTGAAATTCCTGCAGAGTAAGAAGAGAGGGTTTTCTGCAGAGAAAACAGACACAATCTGCTATCTGGCACTCATGCCAACAGCATAGCAACAGTTTTTTAAACGTCTTTTCCTTGTCACTTTTGAATTTTACCAATTTTAAACACTAAGTGTAACAGCAGCAAGGCTTGGGAGCCCAACCGCTAAACAAGGAAACTAGTAGAAAATAAAAATTTAAAATGTCAAGACAATTTTGGCAAAATCCTGGGAAAAGAGAAGAGAGAGTAATTAAAAATATAACACATAATTTGCTTTTCAAATTTTTAATTAGGTATAATAAATGTACACAAAAGGAAGCACTGGCATTTTTGTTCATTTTAAGTGTATGAAATGGTAGGGAAAATAGACACATGGCATGAGTGAGGTCAGAAGTATCAAGACTGGTTTGAAATATTTCAAAATGTCATGCTAACAGGATATTAAGGGAAATTTTTAAAGCCATCATGAACAAGGCTTATTTAACATCAGAGCTAGAACCCACACCACATACAAGTTTGACACAGACTGAGAAAAGCAAATTTCCTCATGTCTTGTACATCCAGGAATTTCAGCTGTGAAGCCTGCATTAGGGTTAGCCATTTTCTCTCGTTTTCAATGAGTTTGTTGACTAAATAAATTTTTAGAAAGTGCAAACTGCTGCACTACTTTGTCATGCTAAATCTACTAGAAAGAGTCTTAATAAGGCTGAAGAAGAGGCAGCAGCATTTGAGATATTATAAACCAGTCTAGCACCAAGCAACTCCAAAGTCTAGTTCCCTATCTGCCCTTTGGTGGATGCCCTTTGGGGAGTGAAAAAAAGGAAATAAAACCACTGTATACTGCAAAGCCATAAAAGCCTGACTCCCTGGATGAAGAACAAACTTACTTAATTTCCTGAAGCTACACATGTTGACATGCGAGTTAATTTCAAAACCAAGGACAACACTCTACCAGTTACAGTGTTAATGGGAAGATGACCCTACAACATACTGGGACTGTATATTACCAGTGTCCTTTTGCAAGCAGTCACTGTAAACAGTCTTAATCATCCTGCCAACAGTAACATACATGTTCAGTTCAGCCCTGCACTTCAGGATTATTTTTAAGTGCCCTCAAAACAAAAGCTGCTTCTACAGGTCTTGTTAGCTATGCTAATGAATTCTTCTCATCGCCCTCAAAACACTCATGTGGTGAACAGTTACTCCAAAAGAAGAGGTTCATTTACATACCTCACCCAAAGGGATCCAGGAATTACTTTTTGCAGTTCTTCAAATGCATAGCAAACTGAAGTTGGAAGTTTTCCCAGACTGAAATGTGCATCTTAGCTATCTTTCTGCAGCGCTTGCACATGTTAGCTGACCTAATTCTGTTCTTTCTAAAATCAGTGAAAACTATCTACTGGGGATTACCAAAGCCAACATTGGAAGTCTTGACAAAGCACTAGGTGTACAACCACCTAAACTTCACTCTCACCCAGATTCAGTTCCCAGCCCCTGTAAGCATGAGACAGACATTGTAAAAAAAGTAAATTTCTATGTGTCTTCAATCTTGTATCTTTTCCTTCTGGAAGCAATTAATATTTTGTAAATTCATTGCATATTCTAATTCTGAGATACTTGCATCTTCAATATATTAAAAGTATATCAAACTGAAATGACAATGAAGAAAAAATATTATCTTATTTGTATGACTGCTTAATTACTGTTTTAGAATTCTGGAAAGTCTTACAGAATTAGAAAGAATTTCGTTTTTAAACTAAATTTCTTGGCCTACCAAAGTGAAAACTATGTTCGTGACTCTTAGGCAGGTACTTCTACAACTTCAAAATAGTCATTAGGCAGAATCACATAGCCTTTTCCTGCCAATATGTCTTTTTCTTTCTGAAACTGAACAATCTCTCTTAGTTTCTCAATTTGTCTTTCCTGACGCCGGCACCGCTGCTGCGCTGTCTTGAGCTTCTTCCGCAGTTTTTCAACCTGTTCCTCCAGCTGTTGAATTCTTTTCCGCTGATGGACTGTATCCTCGACAGTGTAGTTATGATCGCAAAAAACAGCAAGATTGCTGGGGGTCTGAAGAGGGGGCATCAATAATCCAATACTGGGATCTACAAATCTGGCATCTATTTGAGACAAATGAAAAGAAGGAGTTGATGGAGATTGTGGTAGTACTGGAGCTGCTGGTGGTGGTGGTGGTGGTGGAGGCGGTGGCGGCGGTGGCAGTGGAGGAGGTGGCAGTGGATCTTCTGGCTGCTCTGCAAATTCTTCAGACTAGAAAGAACAAGACAAAAAATGTACATTTTCATGCTAAACATTGTTTGCAACACAACTCCCTTATTACAGCCCCAGAATAACCTAACAACCAGGATTTAAACAAATAAAATAAATTTCAAAGACACAATTTTCAAAACTGGCAAACGTTTCTGGGCCTGCTCTGTCTGGCTTCTCAACTGGACATATTTTTAACCAGTTTCATTTTAAGGGCTCTTTGAAACTCAAGCTCTTATGTCTAAATAGGTTTTATGAATTACCTAAGAAGCAAGAACACAGACTACAGTTCCGTAAAACGGAGTTCAGATGACCTAGCAACTCATTGCTGCCATCCCATCCCCCTTTGTCCCTCCTCCTTTCTGCTGCATCATACCACTACATAATTGAACCTACCAGCTAATCTAATCAAAAACACATCAGAAGCAGACAATCTTCTGCTGAGGTAGAATGAGGGCTAACTACTGAGCAGGCTGACACAGCAGAGAGATAGACACAGTAAGACCAATCTTCTCAACAACTGGGAGGGATTCTTAACAGGTTTTGGGCTGCAGCTTAAGGGTTTGGTTAAAAGAGACATCATGAACCAAAATAAACAGCTCTTTAACAGCAAAGCAGCCTTCTCATCCTTGGTATTTACTTTTTGCTCAAATATAATTGCTAAAATGGCAGAAAGCTATTATATCTCCAACTATCACTGCATAAATTTTCTGTCCATTATTAAATGTCAAAGCAATGCAACAAAACGTACGACATACACCTGTCTTGATATGTGGAAAAAGTGAGAATCATACATTTATAGAATGGTTTAGGTTGGAAGGGACCCTAAAGATCGTCCAGTGTCAACACCCCTCTGCCATGGGTAGGGACACCTTTCACTAGACCACATTACCCATCTAACCCTTGAACACTTCTAGGGACAGGGCATACACAGCTTCTCTGGGCAACCTGTTCCAGTGCCTCACCACCCTCACAGTGGAGAATTTTTACCTAATATCTAATCTAAACATGCCCTCCTGCAGCTTAAGGCCATACCCTCTTGGCCTGTCACTACCTGCCCTTACAAAAAGGTCCCTTTCCAGCCTTCTTGTAGGCCTGCCTCCTTTAGATTCTGGAAAGTTGCTGTGAGGTCTCCACACCACTTTCTCTTCTCCAGGCTGAACATCCCCAACTTTTTCAGCCTGTGTCTCTAAGACGGGTGCTCCATCCCGCTGGTCATCTTCCTGGCCTCCTCTGGACTCATTCCAGCAGTTCCATGTCCTCACTGTGCTGGGACCCCAGAGCTGGATGCAGGGTTCCAGGTGGGCTCCCCCCAGAGCAGAGCAGAGGGGCAGAATCCCCTCCCTCCCCTGCTGCCCACGCTGCTTTGGATGCAGCCCAGGACACGCTTGGCTCTCTGGGCTGTGAGCTCACACTGCCAGGTCATGTTAAGAAACAGGACTACATAGCTGGCAGATGGAATGGACAGGGGAGAAGCACAGTTCTCCCTTTTGGCAGCAGCAAAATATCAATTGGCTCAACTCCACTGCAGAGTTTTTTTGCAGATAAAACTGCAGGTTTTATCACATTGGTCTTGATAGGTCCACTTGTACAGGTCAGGACAACACAGATTCATTTGAGTATAGGCCAGAGCAGAGAATCAGATTTTTTTTCCTCCCCAAAAGAATCCAGTATAATTCAGAAATGCTTCTATGCACATGTTGATTGAAAAAGCACTGTTGAAACCAAAGAGCTTGCATATTGCCTATTGAAAAGAAAGCTTAAAACATTCTCAGTAAAAGAGGCACTGAAAAAAATATCTACCTACCCACCTATTGCCAACGCTATTAGTACAAAGAAAAGCATAAGGACTGGGAAAACATTGGTTTTAAGAACAGCCATTGATTTTAAGAACAGCCAACAGTCCTCACCATCAAAATATCAAGCTCATCAGATCTGAAGGTCGTATCATAACTTCCCTGACTTAACATACAAGCAAGATAGATGTGTGGGTGTCTACCTGTCCCCTATACAAACTACAGCTTGGCAGACAGTAACTGAAAAGGCAGTTTGGTGATTGGTATTGAAGAAAAGATTGGCATTAAAGGAAAGTTTAATATGCATTCAAATATAACTGATCACATGAAAGTACAAAATCAGCCTTATTTCTCATTTATAAAAAACTGCTGCTGTTAGCATACCTAATTCACATATGAATATTCTAAAGAGCTTGACCCTATCAGCTGTCACTATCAAATTTTTCTACTAAAAAACCCTACAAGGCAAAGGTAGAGCTAGCAAAAAGAAACTCATTCTTGCTAGAAACAACAGCAAAATCAGATCATTGCTGGACTGCTGAATTCACAGAGACTTCTATTTGAAGCTATAGAGCATATGCTACCTCTATATACAAATTATTATTGTCACAACATATCACAGAGAACAGATCTTTGGTATGTCTGTGACATCATCAATGACTTCTAACTATTTCTTCTAGTCAACAAATACTTCTTCTAAGACATAAGAAAAAGTTACATAGTGTGAAAGATAAAAATCTGTATTTCAAAATCCACGTGGATTCAACTCCAAAACAACCACAATTATTCTTTGTTATTACATTGTTACTTGAAGATATGTGGCAGTTTATTCAAAAGTGCCATGGAACAAATAAAAATAGAACTGAATCCTTCAGAATTAAAAGGCACTCACTCTTCTGTGTTTTTGTAGATCCAGGTATGACAGCGAAATTGGGAACGTGGCTCACTACTAATCCTGCTGCATCAACAGTACTTTTGCAGACTACCCTATACACCCATTCAGCTTTCAGACTGTAAAAAAATTTGCAAGTATTTTACACACAACAAAGAAAATGTGTATTTCACAGATAAGCAAGGAAGTGTAATCAAACAAAAAACACAACCATATTTCCCTGTAACTTGTCTGTCTCCTTGTTTACATTCTGTTTATATTCTCTTCTGTGTTACTAGCCACTTTTCATTTTTCAAATGTTTAGCCTTTTTATTTCTGCAGCACTCCAATATTGTATATAAAGAGAAAAATTGAACAAGAAAAAATCTGAGTTTTTTTTCTGTGCACTTCATCCCATTTAAGTCTTTTGCTCCCCAGACCTACTCTAGCTACCACTGTCTCCTTTGCCATTTCTCTATGGCAGAGCAGTAAGAGATCAAATATTTTATATCCTTTAAAGGAGTTTAAAATCAATGTTTTTCATTCTTGTCTTGAAGTTATTACATCAAGAAGTAAGAACTCATAAGTAACTTGCATCTCATAGTAAATTGTTCTAGTGGCACAGTGAAGGGAATACCTCACTCAGAAGACTCTATCATCAGAAGTCAGGGACCAGTATGGCTTTTGAAAACAATGTTAAGGAAAGACAAAGGTGCTCTCAGGACAGACAGATAGCAGGTACAGGTAAGGTTCTGCTGCTCATTTTAACTTTGCAAAGCCAAAGCGCAGAGCTCTCTTAAAGAGGCCAGTTAAGTTTCACAGTTAACATCCACTGTATTTTCAATGCTAGCAGTAGCCATCAGCCATGGGAAGAGAGTAAGTGCCATTTGCAAACATTAATGAAGGCTCTCTCAGACTCTGAATATGCAAGAATTGCTGTGGAACAGTTTAACTACAGGGTAATACCTTTGTTGCCATTCCATTTAATCAACACATGGATGCTGAATTAAATGGACACATGAGCAGGTGAAAGCCAATGCCTGCCTGTACAACACTTTGTGCTCCAAAGCCTCAGAGAGCCTCAGAGAAAAGAAGCACAGCTGTTGCAGGTATTTTCAGTCACCACAGTCCTCCTAGTCACCCCAGGGATACAGGCTCAGCATCCTGCCGGCCTTCATCCTTCCCAGCCTGCATCCTCTCCCTGCTCGCTGCCCTGCCACTCTGCAACCAGTGACATGCACGACACGTTCTGGCACCTGCAGCCATGGGTGCTTTGGGTTTACCTTTTCACCAGGTTCAGTGTAACAGAAAATTGTGGGCACAGCATTCTCTTTTAGGAGCTTGTTATTGCATTCCCTCTTAAAGCAATCGGGGGTAAAGTGTTCTGAGCAAATGCTGCTGTACTTCGTCGGCTTGAAGTTTTTCCTCTTAACAGCAGCTTCCCACTTCTTGCAAAGATCGGGTCTTGTAAGAGGGAACCTGCAAGCAAGAGGCACTTTCAGCTTTTCTGGAAAGCTTTATAACCGGAGCCAAAACCTTCCTGCCCTCCATCGGGGGGGGGGGTGGGGGGGGGGGATGAGGTTTCAGCCGTCTCTCGCTCTGCAACAGGCGGCTCAGAGGGTCCCGTCCCTCGGCTTTCCCCAGGGAGACGCCGGGAGGGGCGGGCGAACAGACACGCCCGCCTGCCCGTCCGTCCGTCTGTTTGTTTGTCTGTCTGTCTGTCTGTCTGTCCGTCTGTCTGTCCGTCTGTCCGTCCGCACCCGCCCGCTCACGCGCTCCCTCCCCCGCGGCTCCCCGCGATCCTCGCGCGCGCGGTCCCGCGTTGGCCCCGCCCCCCGGCGCGACCCCGCCCCGGCGCCCGCGCGCGCTCACTTGTGGAAGGAGATGGGCTTCTCTTTGTCGTATCGGTTCCGGCAGCGGTAGGCGGAACAGGACTGCACCATCCCGCCCAACCCCACGCCCGCCGCGGCGTGGCCTTCGTGGGGACGGACGAGCCGGCGGGACGCTGCGAACTCACCGCCGGCCGCCCATGCTTCCCCCGCCTCCCACAGCCCCCCCCCGCGCCCGTGGCCCTCCGGAGAGGGACGGAAACGGGACGCGCGGCCTCTCCCAACTCCAAGATGGCGGCGCCAGCTTCAACGGAACCTCTCGCGGTAGCGGCGCGCACCGCGCTCCGCCCATTGGGCGCGTCGGCGCGCAGGGTGGGGGCGGGGCCTTGTTCAGCAGGCTCGCCAATCCGGCCGCCTCCTTTCCCCTGCTCCGCCTCCTTTTCGGGCCCGTGCTCCGCCCACACCGCACCCACAGCTGGGCCCGTGCTCCGCCTACACCTCACCCACAGTGCTGCCACACCCCGCACCCACAGCTGGGCAGCGCCGCTCCCCTCCACACCCCGCACCCACAGCTGGGCAGCGCCGCCCACACCCCGCACCCACAGTGCCGCCCACACCCCGCACCCACACCTCCGCAGAGCCGCCCACACCCCCCACCCACAGCTGGGCAGCACCGCCCACGGCCCGCACCCACAGCTGGGCAACGCCTCCGACCCCGGGACCGTGGGCTGTGCCACGGTCCTTCCTTCATCAAGGGGAGCCTGTCAGGGCCTCCTCCGGCCGTGCCATGCCCGAAGTTCTGGCCGGGGATGGTTGTCCCAGCCGGCAGGCAGGGCTGCGGTCGGACGGACGAGTGTGCACAACGCGGCTGTCACAGGGACAGGAAGAAGCTGGCGCTGTGAGCCCCGCGGGAGGTTCAGGATTTTTCGGGGAGAAAAATAAAAAAATTAAAAATAAATGAGGAGCGGGGGAAAGGCAAAAGAAAACAACGGGAAGACCACATTGCCATAACACACAGTTGCATTAAGGACGTGTAAAACAACTCCGTGTCACTCACCTAAACGTAGTTTGCAGGTACATCAGCAAACAGTAGATAAATCTCTCAACAAATCGATTTTTTGTTACAAATAAGTTTATTTCGAGCAGTTTCGACATGTTCCCATTCTGTGGGCTCACTTTTGAACTCTGCATTTGATCAACAACTAAAACCGTCCTACATAAGTGACAGTTTTTGTATAGGAATGACAAAGTAACCCACCTTTAGGGTCACCCCAGTCAAGTGTAACATTATATCTAGAAATTCACTGACAATGACCCCAGACCCAAGTGAACCTCCATGGCTTTTTCTCTGATCCCACAAAGATCATAATTTTCTCCTCAGCCTACTTTCCCCCTCTACACTTGCTTTGTGAAGGAAAGAAAAGAAGGTTTATTTGCCTTAGCTTGGAGGCTGTGGCTTCTCTTCCTAGACAGCTCTCTTTGCCCAGCTGATGGAAGGTACCAGTCACTGCCATTTGCTTGTCCAGGAGTATGACAGAAAAGCCTGTACAGCAGCTTCAGCAATACTTCCACAAAGTGACTCGCATGAGCTGTTGTCAGTACTCAGTGTTGGCTGAGCACTGTTAGCTCTGCTCCCTCTCCTACTAGGTCAGCCAAGAGACAAGGAAAGCAAAATAAGCTCTTTCTAGCACTACCTTCCTACCAAGAAAAACATGCTTACTCCTCTCCTCTCCATGTGAATGCCTCTGTCCCTGACCTTTGCCTGATGACTTTCTTCTCCCTCACATCCTCCTGCTGCCAGTTTTCTGGGCAGCAATTCTGCCACAGCCTCATGGACCAGAAAGGCTAGGCTGTCCCATGGCAAGATGAGCTAGGGGTGACCAGAGCCAAAGCCCAGACTCATCAGCCTGGACAGAGTCCTGCAGCACAAGAGCCGGGCAGATACTAATGGACACACCCACACAAGGTGAGGTGATGAACCAGGTACAAGGTCCGCCCAGGTAATTCAGGCAGGAGCAGCAGGAGATGGTGCCAGTAACAGAACTGGAAACACAGGTCCAAGGTTCACCCAGGAGATGAAATGGAAGAGAGCGACACCTGTGACACAGCCAGGCAGGGACTGAAGGTGCTGGGCTGTGTTGAAAAGAAGCTCTTGCCCCATACACGAGAGTTGGGGGCCCCAAAGCACTTGAGTCAAGATCATCGAGGCCTTAGTCAGTGCACCTAGACTCCAGTTCTCCTATGGACCTCAAGAGGGATTCTGAGTCAAAGTCCTGGACTTGATACCACTGTCCATCTCCTCCTCCACTGCTGGTTTTGGAATGAACCGAGGCACAGGGGGGCACAGCATGGCCATTTAGATTGTGATGCTAAGAGCAGAACTCAGCAACTTCACTAGACACTGTGAGAAGAGGCACGTGGTCTTGATATATAGGAAGGAAATGCCTGGGAGAAAGCATGAAAGTATGAGTAGATTGCAGAAGGTGACACCTAACTGAGGGGGTCCATCACAGATGAGGACATCTGGTGAATGTGTAGATGAGTCACTGAGACCATCAGTCACGAAGCTGATTTTAAAGACTTAAAGCAGAGCTTTCAGTAGCTCTGTCAGGATCACATAGGTATCCTGAAGCAAAAGGGATTTATAAAAGACTGTATAAGAAATTTCCTTGTTCCCTAAGAATTTCACAAACTTGGAGAAGGGCAGAGGCAATTGTCTTGACTAAAGATAACAAATAAATACAATCCCCAAACTGAAAAATTCACATTTTAGTAATTTTGAAAATGTTGGAAATATGTCTAGGATGTTTCAAATCCTTTTTCTTAACTCCCCCCCCCGGAAAAAAAGGCCACATCAAATTCACGTCCATCTTCTGAGTGACTTTAAGTTCGATTAGTTGGCGTGTTTCCTGATGGCCAAACACTTCCCGTAAGACTTCCCAGCACCGTGTTGTTTAGAATCATTAGTCCTCGACACCTGCACTACCCTGTGCCCATCCATCACAGATTTGACGCACCAGCACCTGCCCCAGCAGCCGCCACGCGATGCTCTTGCTCGCTTTCCTCCTGAGGACTCCCGCTACCCGGGCCGGAGTGATGGCCCCGAGAAACCCCCCCCGTTCCCGGACGAAGGCCCTAGCACTGCCTTCTTTCGCACATCGCACTCGCGGGGCGAGTTTCCGAGAGGGAGGAGCAGCGCGGGTTCCCCACGGACACCCCACCGGGAAGCCGTTCCGCGCAAGCCCGGCGGGCGGGGGAAGGAACGGGCGGGGGGGACCGGCGGCGGCGGCAGCCAGGAGGCGGCGACGGCGGGGCGGGCAGCGGGCCCGGGGCGTGGCGCGGGTCCGGCGGCGCCGGGAGGCGGCTCAGTCCCCGCTGCCAGCCGAGGGCGGCCGGCCCCGCGGAGCAGCCGCCCAGCCCGGCCCGCCCCGCGCCGGAGCCGCCGCCGGCCGGCGAGGGCGGCAGCATGAGCGGCGGGCGTAGCGGGCGATCCGCCGTGAAGATGGAGGCGCCGTTCTACCCCGAGGAAGGACTGGAGCTGTTGCCCGACTTCGTGCCGCTGCCGGGTTTCGGTACCACCGGCGGACCTGGAGCCGATGCGGCGGCGGGGCAGAAGCTGCTGCTGGGCGCCGGGAAGAAGCGGGACCTGCCGGCTGCCGCCCCCGCGCCGCTCCCGGGGCCCTTCGCCCTTCGCCCGCCTGCCGGCGCCCGCGGCAGCGCGGCTTCTCTGCGCTTGCTGCCGCCGCCCGCCGCCGCCGCCGCCCCGCCGCCCACCGCGGGCTCCGCGGAGACGGGGAGCAGCGGCGGGGCGGCGGCGGCCCGCGGCGGCCCGGAGGCCGCGCTGGGGTCGGCTGCGGAGCTGCCGCTGCTGAAGCTGCCACCGGCCGCCGACCTGGAGCAGCTGCTGATCCAAGGGGGCGCGGGGCTGGGCGCGGGCAGCCCGGGGCCGACGGCGCCCGGGGCGGGGAGCGGCGGGGCGGCGGCGGCGGGGCCGTTCCTCTACCGGCAGCCGGTGACGCAGGAACAGGAGGGTTTCGCCGACGGCTTCGTCAAGGCCCTGGCTGACCTGCACAAGCAGAACCAGCTCCTGACGGCGCCGCCGCCGCTCTCCGCGCCGGGACCCTGCTGCACCGCCCGCCCGGGGCCACCGGGAGCCCCCGCCGCTGCCGCCGCCGCCGCCGACCCTCCGGCCGTCTACACCAACTTGAGCGGCTTCAACCCCGCGGGGCCGCTGAGCCCCTCGGGCAGTGCCTACCCCTCCGCCCCGCCACCGCCGCCGGGCCTGGCCTTCGGGGCCGCGGGTCTGGGGAGCGGCCGGCTGCCGCCGGCGCGGTCCCTGGAGGAGCCGCAGACGGTGCCCGAGGTGCCGCCGTCGGCGGGCGGGGAGGGTGGCAACAGCGCGCCGACGCCGCCGTCGCTGTCGCCGCTGGACGCGGAGAGCCAGGAGCGGCTGAAGGCAGAGCGCAAGCGGCTGCGAAACCGCATCGCCGCCTCCAAGTGCCGCCGGCGGAAGCTGGAGCGCATCGCCCGGCTGGAGGAGAAGGTGAAGGCGCTCAAGGGGCAGAACGCCGAGCTGGCCGCCACCGCCAACCTCCTCCGCGCCCAGGTCACCCAGCTGCAGGGTCGCGTCCGCAGCCACCTCTCCTCTGGCTGCCACATCAACGCCGCCGGGCATCCTCCTCCTCCTCACGCCGCCGCCCAGCCGCGGGAGACTCCCCCCGAGGCGGCCGCCGCCGCGCCGGAGACAAGCGCCTGCTGAGGAGGGACACCCCGCCGGCCCCGGCCCCAAGCCCGCCCGGGGGCACCGCGGGGCCAAGGTGCGCGCCTGCTGCCGCCCTTCTGCTATTATTATTATTTTTATTATTAATAATTATTATTATTATTATTATTTATTTGCGCCTGGAAAAGGCGTTTTTTTGCGGGAGCCGGGTGTTGCTAAGCGTTTCCCGAGTTCTGTCCGTGTCGCATTCAGCAGCGAGGGTCTCCGTGGGTGGTTCTGGGGCAGGTGGTTGTTAATTTTTCAGTGAAGTACTTGAGGTCTGTAGAGATTTCCGAAAATAAGAAAATTACTGTTTACAGAAAGATTCAACTTTATTTTCATGGGGGATATAAAACGTGTGTTTCCTAATACACCTTACTGAACTGTATAGCAATGGATAAGCTTTTCAAACTTTAAAAAAAATAGCCAGAATCGTACCTTTTGAAAATATGTGTGTGTATATATATATATTTAAAACATAATATGGCTATGTATATTTTCTTGGTATTGATAAAGAACCTTTTTTAAAATACCGTCTTTCTCTAGAGCTTTAATTTGCCATTGAGAGTTAAGACAGCTGTGTGGGTGCTCTTGCACTTACATGGCTTTGATTTTCAAATCGAACCCTGGAGGGAACTGATTTTTGTTGCAAATCTTAAAGCAGATTGAAATGTATTGCTGACTCAGTCATAGGAAAATAGTTTTCTAAACCTGTATGCTCCATATTTCTTGTGCCAGTGCAAACTTGGGGCATTGATAGTTATTTATTGAAACTTGAACACTTTTTGGACGTTGCCTAGACCTTATTTTTCTAGATAACACGTTAGTAGAGAAAATGGTTACTTTGGCAAAAAGAGCTTTACTTATTTTTTTCCTTCACTGTGTACATTCCAGTAGTGCGTGCTCTTTCCATAGTGTAGTAACAATTCAGTGCTATACAGAAAAGGGCTCAGATTTGGGGTGGGTTAGCTGTAAAGGTGATAATTCCATTGTATTCTGTTTGAATAAATCACAGAAATATTATGGAGAACTAGATTTATTTTTCAGTAGAAATCTGTGTATCTTGCTTCTTGGTCTACTTTGCTCTAAAGAAACTTTCTGCAATACTCTAGAGACAGAGTCAATGCTAGAATGTGAAGTGTTTTTCTGGTTGGGAAGATTCGGTGTGATTTATTTCTTTGTCGAGAATTTACTAGTAGAAGAGTATAGCAAAGGAACTATTTCTTCTGATTAGACATAATCCTCAATAAGTTTTTGAAAGCTTTAGGTCCCTTGCTCGGTGCCACTGCCTTCCATGCTTCTGCTGCACCTGTGTTTTTTGAGCATAGCCGCTAGCGCAGCGCTGCCGAGCCCTGTGGCAATGGTGTGGTGGGAAGGGTCTGTTGGAGTGTGACGGTCACCTCGCCAGAAGCCCCTCTGTGCGGAGGCTGCGGGCCGGCCCTGCCGCTGGGGGAAGGCAGGGCTTCTCCTGAGCAGATCCAGCTGCAGTGTGGGGCCCTCTTCCCTCGTTGAAACTGTGCTAAACACTCTGCTTAAACTCAGAGGCAAATCTTTCATGGGGATATGTGTCTGTGCCAGCTGGTGAAAAGGGGTAATCATATGAGGAGCCAAGGGGGCATAGACATCTCTATGTGTACAGACCTGTTAAAGCCACTCAGGAGCTGGTAAACATCTCTTACCTCTTCTGAAGGCTACAGCTGAAATCCAGTAAGAATGGGATAGACTCACAGTTTTTCATGCTTTTATTGGGGATATGTGAGTGCTATCTGTTCAGAAAGTTGAGCTGCAGCAATCAAGTGTATGAGCTTTTCCTTTTAGTACAGTCGTTCCTGGCACATGCATGAAGTTATATGAGAATGCGTAGTTACGCTGTTACTGTAGCTGAGATGGCTCCGAGGATATTTCTTTTCTTAATGCATATGCAAATTAGGTAGAAGCCATATTAATCATTGTATAACTGTTTGATCATGTTACCAGAGCCTTTTTTTGGTGGTTGAAATGATTGCCTGTAACAGTACATTCTGCTGTTAGAATTACTAATGAGCAGATAAAAAAATATTTTGATCTTAACACAGGTTCAAAGACTTCTTAGGGGCATTCTGAACCATACTGCATACAATCTGTAGCACTGCCTGTTACATAATAACTGGGTGAAAAATGTTTTTTTTTTCTTTGGTAGTCATCCATCTGCAAAGATGCTGCAAGTCTGGAGAAACTGATAAAAAACTTCTTTTCCCCCTCACTTAAGACTTTTCCCTAGTGAGAAAGGTAAAGCTGCCTCGTAGATGTGAGATACTTTACTGCATATGTAATGAGGTGGGGATTTTTTAGGGAATCCTGGAAAAAATCGTAAGAGTTTTTGGGTGAGCACCTCTATTTTGGTCCTTGTCTTTCTAAATGAGTGTGAGTATAGAGCTAGGTAAAGATCTTGTGGTAGAACACAGGAAAACAATAAATGCAGCTGTGCAATATTTCTTTACTTACTTTGTAATTTCTGCTCATAATAAATTAGCAATATCCAAGCAACATGGGGGATCCATAAGACATGGGAAATCACTGCAGTTCCCCTTCCCAGACACTGGCAAGGCTCTAGTGGGCTATAATCTAGCAGGGTTATAATGAGCTCCCCCTTTCCAGTAAGGTAATGTTAAAGCTGAAAATCACCCCACATTACCTCACTTGAGTTTGAACTTTCTGCAAGAGCAATCTCACACCCAGCATCTCAAAGACCTCATGTGGTAACTTCTGTGATAGCCTGCTTTCTGTTCTAGCTGACATCTGTTCAGTGGTAGAAGTGGTGACAGGCCATCTCTCATACCCTGATGACTGATGAGAGATTACTAGTGAGGCTGGCAGCTCCAGCTCTCTGCCAGAGGCTACTGTTCTGGTAGTGGAGTTGTCCAAAAGAAACGTGCTTTCTGTAAAGTGATCAGTTACCTTCATAAATGCCTTTTTTATCTGGCATTTAGGCTGAGAAACAGGATCTAACAGTGACATGACCAAAATTTGAGAATTGTGTTGGGGTGGTTGGATTTTTTTTCCTGCTTGGACTGGTTCTGCTAGAGGTTGCTGCATTTTTTGCAGATATTTGAGTGGAAACCCAAAGCACCTAACACTTTAAACAGATATAAAAAGACTCAGGAGTACTTACCTGCTGCAGCTGTCAGACTTGATTGTTCCTGTCTTCTAAAACGTCTCAATACTCTGGCTTTTAGCCCTGCAGTGTTCCTAAACTTTTAAATATGGCTTCTCTATTTTGTCTGCCTTTTTTTCTTCAGTTTGTTGTTAAACATATGTGTCTTTTAGGTTTTTTGATTTTCTGCCAAAAACTTTGGTCACTGTGAGACATTAAAAGATAGATACTGGGTAAAAAAATTTCAGACTGTTTATATGATTTGCATTCATGTAGCTCCTTTTCAGTAACTCCAAGTAAGTTGGCTGTGTGTTACTGTAAGGGAAAAAAAAAGAAAGAAAACTACCAAAACCCCTCAAAAACAAAACCCAAAAAAAGCAAACAAAAAAAATTAAATCCCAAAATAAAAGTTATGTTCACTGTTAGCTCAGTGCTTTTTAGCATTTTTCTTCGTTCTTCAAAACTACCAAAACTACCATGCTTTATTATACTTGTGCACGCTATTTTCTAGTCCTTGCAAAGACTCATGCTGCCTGACTTGATTTGCAGGCTACCCTCATGTCCTTCCAATCTGGTTTTCAGTCCAGATGTGAACCCATGACAAACATCCCTCTTTGTTTCTTCGCCCCACGTGTAATCTGCTCTGGAGACTAAATAGTCTCTTCCTTTGTCTGTTTTGGTTGCTGGGTGCTTGCTCCTGTGCATATTGTTTTTTGCCCAGCAATTTTTGAATGTGCTTGAACCAGTATCTTTGTTTAGATGTGAAGTGCCTTCTTATTTAGGTGCTACAGCAAAAGGGTTTGATTCATATATGGATTTGATTTATTTGACTTGTTATCAGATCTTTTCTGTCTTGGGAAGTAGGAGGGGGAATGTTTTCAGTAAGAGAAGACTTGTTCACTCCTTCCTTGGGCAGAGAGTGGAGCCCCCATCAGATCTGGCCCTGCTTGGTGTGAGTGCAAGAAAGCCACTCTGATAACACTGACTCAAATGATGCCATTGCTATGAAAGTTAATTGGTTTGGTCTCCAATGTAGTGAAGTCTGTTGGAATCACAAGGTCTCCAGACAGGTCCAAGTAGCTGGTGAGTTGTTCTTAAAACTTAATGTGATTCCAGGTTGAGCCCATTTGGTGTGCTTAGAGAGCCTTTCCAAAAGCAAATATTTTGCATACTTTGAGAATCATAGGTGTCTGGACATAAGTCCTTATGATGGTGAGGAGCGATTTTGGTGGTGATGGTCATGTTTTCTGTTATAAGACTTTGATGGTCTTCCAAAAGGTAAATATCTCAACATATCTGGACTCTTGACTGTATGTCAGTAGTCACTACTGACTGTCATGCTCTATTTGAGATCAAGGGTGGCTCTATGACAGTTCTCTGTCATCTTGGTTTGTATATGTATCTTTACAGAAGAAAGAGTCATGAGGCATCCTTCATTCCTTTAAATATCTGATTGACTCTCTGTCTCACCTTTGACAAAGGACTGACCTCCCCAGGTTAAGCCCTGAGGCATTCTGCAGCTGTTAAAGTGGAAATTGATTTGGCAACTAATTTTTAATCAGTTATATAAGTAATTGATGGTTCCCAAAATACTGAATAGTATTGTTTGATAATGTCTGAAGTACAGGTGCATGCCAGGTCTGAATTACTAGTTGTGCTGAAAATAACATCTTGGCTGCCATAACTGGAGTCTTAACTGTTTGAATCTAGCAGCTTCTTAGAGAAAATTTTTCTATATCTGAGATTAATATGCAAGAGGAAAAAACCCATCTGCTTGTAACATAGGTCATTCTTTGATGCATTTTATGTGTCCTGCTTCTGGAGTGCAAGTTAAAAAAGGAAAAGCAATGAGTAACATTTTCATTTATTCATATGTGCAGCTGTAACTGCTACTGGATAATTTTGCTCTTTTCTTACTTGATTCTCCAAGTTTCTATGTTTAGCAAGTAGACAAATTGGAGTATGACATATCTGTGTACATATTTGATTTTTACAAAATCACTTCCATTTTTCCAGTTTTTTGTTTGAAGTTTTACTGTAAGAATGAGTGTTGAAGAGTTCTTATCCTGTTTTGATGCTTGTTGGTCACTTCTTTTGATCAGTAGTGACTGCTGTAGTGACTCTGTAGTCACTGCTCATCTTCCAGCAGAGGTGGACAGTAAAGTCTGTCAGGGATTCACCTCTTTCAGTATTTGGCAAGACCTGTATCAGCAGAAAAAATCTTGGACAGAAAGCTTTCACAGTGCATAGTAATCCTGCAAATGTTAATTCATCCTTCTCACACCACAATCACTTGCATCAGGGTTTAGTGTATCTGATGAAGAATGATAAATGTTCTTGTTACAAAGGGCAGAATCTGAAGTTTGTAAGAGCCTTGTTAATCTTGCCGCACATGGTGCA